CGTGCCCAGCACGGCCCACTTGCCCTCCAGCTGGTTGCCGAACTCCACGGCCGTCTTCTCGCAGTCGGCCAGCTTCTTCTCAGCTGTCCCCACGTGTCCCTCCAGGCTCTGCAGCTGGGGCGCCTGGGACTCCAGCTGCTTCTCAACAGCCTGGAGAGCAGCCAGGGAGACCAGAAGGGAGGCCTCTGTATCTGGACCTGGGCATTTCGTTGGCAGTCAGTTGGCAAATGCCAGTCCTGCCACAGACCCTAGGAGGCCTTAGGGAATGAGTCAGCCACCACAGAGAGGTTCCCAGAGTCACCCCAGCTGCAATGTCAGGCCATTCCCAATAGACCACTGGACACAGAAAGGCAGCAGACACAGAAGTCCTGGGGGAAGAAGCCTTTTTTTTTTTTTAAGATTTATTTTTATTGCAAAGTCAGATATATATGGAGGAGGAGAGACAGATATCTTCCGTCCAACGATTCACTCCCCAAGTGACTAAAATGGCCGGAGCTGCACTGATCTGAAGCCAGGAGCCAGCTCTTCTGGGTCTCCCACGTGGGTACAGGGTCCCAAGGCTTTGGGCCATCTTCTACAGCAAACCCCTGGGTTTCTTTCTTTCTTTTTTTTTTTTTTTTTTAAGATTTTTTATTGGAAAAGCATCTATACAGAGAGGAGAGACAGAGAGGAAGATCTTCTGTCCGAGGCTGCAACGGCTGATACTATGCCAATCCGAAGCCAGAGCCTCTTCTGGGTCTCCCACGCGGGTGCAGGGTCCCAAAGCTTTGGGCCGCCCTCGACTGCTTTCCCAGGCCACAGGCAGGGAGCTGGATGGGAAGCGGAGCTGCCGGGATTAGAACCAGAGCCCATATGGGATCCCGGGCGTGCAAGGCGAGGACCTTAACCAATACGCCATTGCACCAGGCCCAACCCCTGGGTTTCTGAGCTCAGAGCTGAGCTAGGCCCATCTATTCCAGCCTGCCACCTCTAAGGTGTTTCTGCTCTGACGTCCACTGCTGTGTAAGGTCCCCCGTGGTCCTGCCTGAGACCCTGGGTCCTCCCCCTGCCCGCCCAAGCCCCAAGCTGTCAGTCAGCTCCAGCATAGCCTCCACTTGGGAACCACATCCTTGGTGCCAGAAACAGGTCAAAGATGTCAATGAGTACCTTCGAGGAGGCAGAACAAGGAACGATTTCAGATAAGACGCTGATCACAGCATGTATTCCTAGAAAGCATGAAATGGAAAAAAAAACTCAAGGGTGCCTGGCAGGACACTCCTGAAAATCAAAGTCTCCCTGAAGTTGAATCCACGCCCTTCCGACATGTATGCCCTTTGCAACTACTTGACCCACCACGTGTGCGAGTTAGCCACACACCTCTGATTGTAGCTCCTCACTTCTGAGGACTGCACTGCTTCCCCAGCTCTGAGGTGCCGGGGTGTGTGCATGAAATGTGCTTGAAGTACAGCAAAGCACTGGGGGTGTATGATGTAGTGCGTATAAAAGCCATATCTGATTAACAAGCAAAGACTGGCACAGTGGAGTTTCCTAAGACAATTTCCCACCAGAAGTCCTCCATAACATGACTCACAGACTCACAGACACCTGCCCTGCCTTCTGTTACTGCAAGGTCTCACCATGTGCAAGACTGACCTCTGACCCCGCAGCAAATGTAGCCTGAAGGAGACGGAAGCAGGTTTCACCAGTAAGGGACAAACTTCCTTCCCCCAACCCCTCTGCATTTCCCTTAGATCTGGCATCCAGAATTGGACCTCAACAGTCCTTGAGGTCTGGGTGGGAGGCCGGGCCAGGTCCCAGTCCTCTAAGATGCAGTTCTCCTTCCCGTGGCCACAGTAGAAAGAGCTTCCAGGGGGCCTTTGATGGGTCCAGCAAGAGCAGCCGTGGGAAGTCTGTGCAACGTGTCCCGTGCACCCAGGACCAATGGGGCATCCATGGGGCAGAAGGGAAACTCGGACATTTTCTATGCTGTGGCCAGTCCCCATGGCCTTATCTGATCCATTGTCAGGACTCTGCCTGCCTCCACCCACTCTGGGTGAAAATAAAGACATCCTCCCTTACCAGAGCCAGAGTCTCCTGGGCCATGGGCTTGTGCTGTCTGCAGGCGCTGCCGCCCTTGCACACAGCCCCACTGATGGGTCCTCTCTGCAGGAGTCCCTGGCTCAGCCTTCCCACACCAAGCCGAACGGTGCAGCCGTCGGGGACTCGGGGATGCTCATAGTGGACAGCCACAACAGAGTGCACCACGGTGGGAAGCCTGGGCCCGCCAGCTGGACTCAGGTCCCTATTGGCCATCTGGAACCACAGCCTGAGCTCAGGCCCTGTGTGCACCTGACAGGCACAGAGGCCAGGAGTTTCTTGCCTGTCGCCAGGCCCACAGCACATGCAAAGCCACCAGCTGGGGTCTGCAGCTGACTGCCCTGACCCTCAGTTCACCCACCAGAGCAGGAAACAGCAGTGTGCATGCGCTCATTTATGCTGAAATGCTGACCACCACCAGGGATGCCAGTATGTTAACTTCCACAGTCCTCAGGGCCACTGAACACTGTGACCCACACATTTCATTGTTTCACAAAGCAGGAGTCTACGCCCAGCATTCTAGAACCCCACTAGCTGCTGCACCCAACTCAACCTCCCCTCATTTATTTAATTTTAAAAAAATCTTTTTTGTTGGAAATACAGATCTACAGACAGGAGAGACAGAAAGATCTTCCATCTGCTGGCTCACTCCCCAAGTGGCTGCAACAACCAGAGCTGAGCCATTCTAAAGCCAGGAGCCAGGAGCTTCTTTCAAGCCTCAAACACAGGTGCAGGGTCCCAAGGCTTTGGGCCGTCCTCGACTGCTTTCTCAGGCCACAAGCAGGGAGCTGGATGGGAAGCAGGGCAGCTGGAGCATGAACGGGTGCCCACATGGGATCTTTGCGTGTGCAAGGCGAGGACTTGACAGTAGGCTGTCACGCAGGGTGGGGCTCACGTATCTCAGTGCAAACAGCATGAAGCACAGCCTGTTGCATACTAGGCAGACGCCCAAGGCCTAATCCAGAGTTGAGCACACAGCACTTGGGGTTGGGGGAGTGAGCTGGTGCCTTTGATCGTGGTTTGTTTCTATTGGAATGCCTGCACAGGAGGGTTGGAGTAGTGGTTCAACCAGCTAATTCTCCACTTGCAAATGCCAACATACCACATGGGCACCAGTTCATGGCTCAGCTGTCCAGCTACCTGCTTATGGCCTGGGAAAGCTGCAAAAGCTGATCCAAGTCCTCGGATCCCTGCAGACATGTTGGAGAACTCAAAACTCCAGGCGCCTGGCCTCAGATCAGGTCTGCTTCGGCTGTTGTGGCCACTCAGGGAGCAAACCAGTGGATGGGATAGCTTTCTTCTCCGCCCTTCCACTAACAAATAAATCTTTTTTTTTTAAAAAAAAAGCAACTGTACAAACACAAGACATTCAGCATCAGAAAAATAGGCCCAGGAACTCTGAAAGTGTGAGCCCAAGGCCTCCTCTTCCACCCACAGGGAGCTCCTGCAGCTGAGGACTAAGTTCCACACAGCTACATCCTGAGAAGCCCATCTCTGAGTTGGGGAACCCCAGCAAGGGTTGGGGTGCCACAGCACAGAAGGGTGGGGTCTCTTCTGACCGAGTTTCCCTACCTACCCTTGCCCCGCTGTTTTCAGTACTCCAGGAGAGGAAGGAGTACTGCCGGAAACCAGGGAGCGGGCAGGCCTGGCCACTGGCGGCCTCAGCTGCCAATCACCAATGCTCCAGTTTGGTCACACCCATCCCCCGGCTGACATGCAGGCAGCACCCCACATGGCGTTTTGAAGAACACTTCCACCAAGCCCTTCCCGGAAGGCCTAGTACTGTTACCTGAACTTCCACAGGGAACACATCCCAGCAGGAAAGTCTTCCCTGCCGGAAACTGCTCCCACAAGTAAGTCCTTCTTGGGGTATGTGTGGCAGGGGGATTCTAACTGGGGGTCAACATGGAAGAGAAAGAGGGTCCCGAGCTGGAAAAGGACAAAGCCAGCTTCCCTTTTGTCCCAGCCGCTCTGATTTGAGGATGACAATTCCTAGGTGACTGACATCACCGCCTGTTTTGACAGAGAAGGAACGTGACACTAAAGATCCAGAACTCCAAGACATTTCTGCCCGCGCCCGATTTCTCCAAGAACCCCACGTGATAGGACATACCCCGGCCACCCCTTTCTGTGCCAAAGGATGCCCCAGCACGCAGGTGGACAGAGCAGCCTCCCAGACAAGGTCTTTCTCTGCATCCCGTCTTCCCGACACTGTCCGGGGTCCAGTCCAGGCACCACGAATGTCCATGACCCCGACACCTGCAGGGGAAGTGTACTCTGCCCCTGGCTTCTTCAGCTTTCTCTCATGGTGTATGACGGATGTGATGGCCCAGCAGGTCAGTGCTAGGAAGGCTGGGAAGCCACTCTGGGCCAAGGAGCCCCTCCACGGGAGGACCAAGCAGTGCTCTCTGTGGCCATAGGCTGTTCTACACCGGCCCCTCTCCCTGTCTACCCTGCCAACCCCAGAGAGGAAGTCCTGCCCCTCTGGCCAGGAGCGCTTGGTCTCCTTTGCATGACACTCAGGAAAACAGGAACTCGGCAAAGAAACAAAGTGGAAAACTTCCCTTGTGGCTAGAGGCTTCTCTTCAGGCCGTCTCGTCTACTAACCTGGCAGACTGAGGGCCAGCGGATCGCAGCGGTCAGTGTCATGGTGGAAAGGCCCTGATCCCTGGTCTGCTAGTGTCTGTGGCACCTGCCAAAGACCCTCAAAAAAACTGCCGTTCCATGAGCCTGAAGGAATCCTTTATAAGTCAGGAATGTAGAAAAGGCAGCAAGGACAAACTTAGGAGACAGGAAATGGAGGCAGCTGACACCAAAGGGGCTGCAGCTTCCCATATGAATGAAAAAAAAAAAAAAAAAAAAAAAAACAATCACGCCTCTGCCAAGCCATCTGAGAACAGCAGGGCTGGGGGGTGGGAGGGAGGCTCTCCAGGCAAGGCAGGCGGTGCCAGAGGGGTCCCGGCAGGGTTCGGCCTGGTCAGCCCTCCTCCATGTGGCTGGGACTGGGCAGGGGTGGACTCCCGTGGTGGGCAGAGGACGTGGAGAAGTGCAGGCCTGTGTGGCTTCGGGCATGAGTTTGCATGTGCACCGCCAGGTGGTGGCTTCGGTTGAAGGCCCGGCCACACTGCAGGCACTGGTACGGCCGCTCACCAGTGTGGATGCGCTGGTGACGGAAGAGGTCCGAGCGCCGGCGGAAGGCCTTGCCGCAGTAGGGGCAGGCAGGCCAGCCCTGGCTGTTGCCTGTGTGCAGCCGCTGGTGCAGCAGCAAGCTCTTCTTCTGCTGGAAGAAGCGCAAGCACTCGCTGCAGTGGTACACCTTGGAGGTGGCCGGCTTGTGGCCCGTGAAGGCGTGGCCCTGGGGTTCCTCAGGGAGCCAGCGGATGACCGGCCCGGGCACCACCACCTCCCCTGGCTCCAGGGCAGAGGGAGCTTCAGCTTCACCCCACTCAGTGGCCGAGCTGCCCGGAGTCTCCCTGGGTTCCTTCTCCACATGTGTCCGCTGGTGAATTGTCAGGTTGATCTTCAAGCGGAAGCTCTGGCCGCAGTCAGGGCAGGGGAAGGTCCGTTCTCGCCGACGGGGCAGGACGCGGGGCACTTGGCCCACAGCCCCCGGTGACCGCAGCTCGGCCACCCGCACCCTCGGCACCCTATCAGCAGGATGTTGGCTGGGGCCCCGGGGCTTGCTCCTGGGCCCTTCGGGGATTTGATAGGTGGGCTGGCTCGGAGTCCCCAGGGAGATCTGCTCTGGCGACAGCTCATCCTCTGATAGCACTTCTGTCTTGATGGTCACGACACCTGGAGAGAGGAATCTCGGTTTCCAAGGAGAACACACCTGCCCAGATCGCCCTGGCTGCTTCCAAGTGTGGGTGGGGTCTCTGCAGCACGACAAGGGTGAATGTCCCTCCCGGGCTTAACACCTCTGCACCAGGAGGCACTAGCCCAGCGAGTCCTGCCTGCCTGCCTGCTTGCACAGGGCTGGCACGGAGGGGCTGCTGGCACAGTGGACTGCGGAGGGCTGTGGGCGCAGAGACAAGCTGCAATCTGAGGCCACAGCAGGCAGGCTCTGGGAGCCCTCCTGAGCTCACCAACTGAAGACGCTAAGTCACAGGCCGAGCCTGGGCCACCTGGGGCAGCAGCGAGGCCTCCTGGACAGCCTCTGTCGCCAACAGAACACAAGCTGATGGTGTGCCGTCTGTCTTCAGCTAGGCCAGGCCCCAGCAGGGAAAGGGGATGAGGCAGGGAGCTACTCCCCAGGGCCCCCCACACCCCCGCTGGACCCCAGCACACCCTGCCTCCTGTGAGGCTCCACCTTGACCTCCTGGTGTCTCCTTCCCTTATTTACCTGGCCCCAGGCTGGGCAGGACACCTGTGGGAGTGGAGACAGGCGGCTCCCCCTCGGAAGAGTCTCCTTCCTGTTTAATCGAGGACAAAACACTGGTGCTGGCTGGAGGCCCTGTGAGAGAAGGAACCGGTGAGGCCTTCCTGACACTGCATTCCGGAGGGCACACGTTCCAGGACCCACCCAGAACAGGTCCAGCAGCCTTCCCAGGTGACAGCAACAAAGGCCATGCCCCCTAGTCTCTTTATACCTTGTCCCTGACAGACTTAAGCACAAGAGGGCCTGGGGGGCTGGTCCAGGGAAGCGGTGGGCAGACACCCTGCCCTCCTGCCAGACAGCCCACCTCTCCTTGTGCAGAGCTGGAACGTACACACCACCGAGGCAGGCCACTTCAGTGGGAGACACACAGGAAGCACACAGACACGCAATCAAGAGGTTGAGTCAGCCACAGAGGAAAGCCATCCCCAGGCACAGGTCACACAGCCCTGTGGACTCGACCAAAACATGCCAGCCAGCCCAGCGCACCCAGGTCCCCAACAGCTCTACTCGGATCACTTTTCCTATGGTTAAAGTGCTAAAACCCAGCTTCTTTTTAGGCCTGTGTCAAGGAAAGCCAGCCCATCACAGTCTAGACACTTCTCCCCATCTCCCCACACCCCCCGGACCTCCAGCACTTGCTCACAGTACCATGCAGTTGGTACCATGTGATGCCCTGTGTCCCCTCACCAGTGCCTGGCTCGCATGGGGTCACTCTCGCCTCTGAATGCTGCTGCAGCTCAGGAGCCTGCCCATGTGCGGACTCCTTGTGGGCAGGACTGGCAGGGCCGAGAATGCGCTCCGGGCACAGAGGGAGGCCTGCAGAACAAAGGTCAGTGACACGGAGCACAGCACAGAGGTTTCCCCCCGCCGCCGCCCCGCTGCCCGTCTCCCAGGGCCAGGGACATCTGGGGAAAAGTGAAATGTGGGCCTGAGACCCAGGGCATCGGGGTGGAATAACAAGCTGGGCCTCCTCAGACACCAAGCAGCTGGACTCGGTCCTAAAGCAGGAAAAAGAAACTGCACAGGGGTGGGTATATGGCATAGGGGCTAATCACCTCTCGGGACACCAACGTAACTGCCGAGTCCTTGCTGTAGGCCACGGGACCCCGTTTCCGATCCAGCTTCTTGCCCGTGCGTATCCCGAGAGGCAGCACATGGCGACACAGGTGCTCCGGTGCCTGCCACCCTCACGGGAGACCCGCAGGGAGGCACTGGCTCCTGGCTTTGGTTTGGCTCCATCCTGGCTGTTGCGGGCATTTGAGCAGTAAATGAGTTGAAGGAAGATTTCTCTCCATCTCTCTCTCTGCCTTTTAAATAAAACAGATTTTTTGGGGGAAAAAAAAAAGACACAATTTTTAAAAACATGTTCATAATATTCTCAAAATCTTGAAAATCCCCACCCCTGCTCCCGAGAGTCCCAGAGAGGTCATAGCAGAGCAGGGAAGCATCTGGCCTGGTGAGCAGGAAGGAGAAAGGCCGGACTGTCCCTACAAGCCATGACCTGCTGGCACCCCTCCAAGCCACTCCCTCGAGTGTCAGCACCAAATACGCACCACAGCAGTGGTCATTCCACCTCAGGGAAGCACCCCTGTGCAACCACTACCAACTGCCTCATTGCTGGGGCTGGCTACAACGCTTCCGCAGGACCTGCCATCCACTCTGATCATAAAGGCCCCGTTGCGGAGGCTCGCAAAGGCTGATACCTACATGAGCATGTGTGTTCTCTCCTGCAAGAAACAGGAATCACACACACACCCCCCTTTTTTAAGGAAGAACACCTTGGATGAAAGAAAAAACAGGTTAGCACAAGGGTGATGGTCAAGGGTAGATGGCCGCCTGTGTGGGACACGAGCTGCAGGTTCACATCACTGCTCCACTCAAGCAGAGAAGTCTGCAATCAGGCAGCTATCAGCGACTCACAAGTAATCCAGACTGGGCCCGGCGCAATAGCGTAGCGGTTGAAGTCCTCGTCTAGCACGCACCAGGATCCCATATGGGGGCTGGTTCTAATTCCAGCCAACCTGCTTCCCATCCAGCTCCCTGCCTGTGACCTGAGAAAGCAGTTGAGGACGGCCCAAAGCTTTGGGACCCTGCACCCACATGGGAGACCTGGCTTCGGATTGGCTCAGCTCCAGCCGTTGCAGCCACTTGGGGAGTGAACCATCAGATGGAAGATCTTCCTCTCTGTCTCTCCTCCTCTCTGTATATTCGCCTTTCCAAATAAAAATAAATAAATCTAAACCCAAGTAATCCAGATTTACTAGGAAAAAAACCGAACAGCTCCAAGTCCAAGCCTGAGTTTGCATTGCCTGCGTCAGATTTTCTGGAACTGCAGAGTCCAGAGAGAAGCGATATGTCAGAGACTCATTAGATACAACAGCCCTAGAGGCGGTTCAATAGACACTTCGCTACAAGTGGTAAAGCCAGCTCCCGTGCTATCAGAGGGAGAAGTGCTGGCGCCAAGGAACGGGAAAAAAGGTCCTGTGGCCGATTTCACACGCGTAGCTGTGATTATGCGCTCCACTGGTAGGCACACACTACCTACACAACTACCCTCGGCCCCTTCAAATGTCCACATGAATGCCACGCATTCAAAGTAAGGACTTTAGCAACTGGGCTACCATGACAGGCCCTAAAAATTCTTTTAGGGGTGAGTACTTGATCTGCTGGTAGAGATGCCAGGTGGGACTGCTACCTCCTATGTCACAGTTCCTTCTCGAGTGCACTCTGGAGCCAGCAGGAAGTGACTCAGACTGCGTCCCTGCCACCCACGTGGCTCACCTAGATTCAATTCCTGCCTGCTGGCTTCCTCCTCATCCAGCCGAGGCTGTCAACTGCAGCTGGAGAGTGAAGCTCAGATAAGAAATCTGTTGGTCTCTCTCCTTGCTTCTCAAATAAATGTTTAAGTCAAATAAAAGTTATATTCAGGGCCCGGCGCGGTGGCGCAAGTGGTTAAAGGTCCTCGCCTTGCACGCCCGGGATCCCATATGGGCGCCGGTTCTAATCACGGCAGCCCTGCTTCCCTTCCAGCTCCCTGCCTGTGGCCTGGGAAAGCAGTAGAGGACGGCCCAAAGCTTTGGGACCCTGCACCCGCGTGGGAGACCCGGAGGAGGCTCCTGGCTTCGGATCGGCATAGTATCGGCCCGTTGCGCTCACTTGGGGAGTGAATCATCGGACGGAAGATCTTCCTTTCTGTCTCTCCTCCTCTGTATATCTGACTTTCCAATAAATAAATAAATCTTTGAAAAAAAAAAAACAGATATGAAAGATAATAGACCACACTCACCAAGATGTGCCATGAAAACTATACTGGCTGGGCTAGGGTTGTGGAGTAACAAGTAAAGCTGCCACTTGCAGTGCTGGCACCCCATACAGTTGCCATGTCCCAGGAGCTCCAATTCCAATCTCGCACTCTGCAAACGTGCCTGGGAAAGCAGCGGAGAATGGTCCAAGCACTTGGGCCCCTGTATCTACATTGGAGATCTGAAAGAAGCTTCAGGCTCCTGGCTTCAGCCCAGCCCAGCCCTAGCTACCATGGCCATTTGGGGAGTGAACACAGGGACGGAAGACTTCTTCCATGTATCACCTTGCTTTTCTAAATAAATACATAAGCACTTTCTGGAAAGGCCTAGAAGTAATGCCAAAAACAAGTATTCAACTGTGACCTCTAAACCCCATTACTCACTGGAAATAATAATAAAAACCCATGGAGAAATTCTGATTCAAGGCATGGAACAGAAACTATACAAGATGAATGTGGCACACTTTACAGTTTTGAAAAGCCACCAGGGTCACATCAAGACGACCGATCTGTCCCAGCAGGGAGATACTGTTTCAGACCTGCACCTCACATCAGGATGCCTAGGCTCGGGTTCTGGCTCCGCAGCCAATTCCAGCTCCCCACTCGCACACATCCTGCAGGTGCTCAAGTACCTGGGTCTCTGCCACTCACGAGGGAAATCCAGATCAAATTTCAGGCTCCTGACTCTGGCCTGGCCCAGCAAGGGCTGCTGCGACATTTCCGGAGTGACCCAGCAGATAGAAGATCTCTGTCTCTCTCTGCCTTTCAAATAAATGAAAATACAAATGACCTGTGGGCCAACTTGAGGAGGATCCTGCTAGCTAAAAGAGGAACAAGTTTAAAAAATATTACGACACAGGGTTTTTCTTTTTTTTAATGCTTCTTAATTATCAGGCAGAGCAACTGTGTGTGTGTGCATACATGCAGTATCTGCCGCCTGCTAGTTCACTCCCAAACGCCTGCCCCAGCTGAGAGGCTGGAACACCCCAAAGCTAGAGGTCAGGAACTTTATCCGGGTCTCTCATGTAGGTGGTAGTGTCCAAGCACTCGAGTTGTCAAATACAGCTTCCCGAGCGCTGCAGCACAAAGCGGGATCAGAAGCAGAGGCAGTACTCAATCCCAGGCACTCCGATACGGAATGCAGGCATCTCAAGCAGCAGCCTGACCTGCAGTGCCACAAAGGCCACCTCAAGAAGGGCAGTCTGGTAAATCAGGTAAAACTGCCACCAGTGACACTGGCATCCCATATGGGCACTGGCTCCTGTCCCAGATGCTCCTATCAGTGGCCTGGGAAAAGCAGAAGCTCGCCCAGAGGCTGGGTCATTATCAGCCACTCCCGAGACCTGGAAGAAGCTCCTGGCTCCTGGCTGTGGCCTGGGCCAGCCCAGCTGCTACAGCCATGTGGGGAGCAAACCAGCAGATGGACCATCTTTATGTCTGTCTCCTTCGCCTTCAAATAAACAATGAAATCTTAAAAAACAAAAAGAAAGAAAAAGTGCAAAAAACAAATGCTGTTAAGGACCGGTAGACAGTATCTGACCATCAGCTAAAGTCCTCACCTTGAATGTGCTGGGATCCCATAGAGGTGCCAGTTGTAATCCTGGCAGCCTCACTTCCCATCTAGTTCCCTGCTTGAGGCCTGGGAAAGCAGTCGAGGATGGGCCAAAGCCTTGGGACCCTGCACCTGCGTGGGAGACCCGGAAGAGGCTCCTGGCTCCTGGCTTCAGATCAGTGCAGCTCCAGCTGTTGCAGTCATTTGGCGAGTGAATCATTGGATGGAAGATCTTCCGCTGTCTCTCCTCCTCTCTCTATAACTCACTTGGCAATAAAAATAAACAAATTTTTAAAATTTAAAGCAGAAAAAGCCCAAAATGTTGGCCGCTTTTTGAGGCTATTAAGGTGAAGCAAAGAAGTATGTATCCTGTATTTCAGGTAACTAATGGCTGGTTGGGGAAGCTGTACTTGCAGCCCCTGAAGTACCAAATCCAAGCAATAATCTTCAATGGTTAATAAAATCACCATGTGCACAGTTAAAAACAAGAACTTGATAATAGGATAATGCAAAGAATTGCAACAAGAAAAGAGAGAGACCCTTTGTGTCCCCCGATGTTATACACCAGGGGGTACACAGCAACACCTCTGCGGTGATCTTGCCAGAAAACCTGAACTTGCTTCTATATAATCGTCTAGATAGAATTATCAGTTAACTGGGAGATACAGAAAGTAAAGGAATATGTTAAAGAACAGCAAATCCAAAATACATGAAATGGGATTAAAAACATAAAAATCAGGCCTGGTGCATTAGCTTAGTGGCTCAAGTTCTTGCCTTGTACACGCCAGGATCTGATACTGGCACCACTTCATGTCCCAGCTGTTCCACCTCCCATGCAGCTCCCTTCTTGTGGCATGGGAAAACAGTCGAGGATGAAGTCCTCGGGCCCTGAAGTCGTGGGACCCTGCACCCATGTGGGAGACCCAGAAGCAGCTCTTGGCTCCTGGGTTCGGATCGGCTCAGCTCCATCTTTGTGGCCACTTGGGGAGAGAACAAGCAGATGGAAGATCTGTTTCTATGCCTTTCTCTCTGTAAATCTAACTTTCCAATAAAAATAAATAAAGCTCAAAAAAAAAAACCCCACATCAAATGTCAATGAATAAGACATTGGATTGGGGGCAGGGCAGATTCACCACTGGTGAATATCAATCAACCAAATTTGGTATATCTCTATAACGGACTATCATTCAGCTAAAAATACAAGTGCAGTACCACATTACAACATTGGCACCAAGCTCAGTCAGAGGCGGCCACCACGAAAGGCCACACACTGTGTGACTCTGTAAGAAACGTCCAGATAAGCAAACCGAGAGAAAACAGATGACTGGTCACTTGGGCAAGTACAGGGGGAATACAGAACACATTAATAGTTACGGGGTATCTTTCTCATGGGACAAAATGGTTCTAAGATCAGACTGGTCACACCACTCTGTGAATGTGGGGCCAGCACTGTGGTATAGGTTAAACCTCCACCTACAGTACTGGCATCCCTTACGGGCACCAGTTCCACTCCTGGCTGCTCCACTTCCCATCTGGCTTCCTGCTTATGGCATGGAAAAGCAGCAGAAGATGGCCCAAATGTTTGGGACCCTGCACGCAAGTGGGAGGCCCAAAGAAGCTCCTGCTTCCTGACTTGTCTAGCTCCAGCTGTTGTGACCACTTGGGGAGTGAACCAGCAGATGGAAGATTCTCTCTTGTTTCTCTTGCTGTTACTATACCCTTCAAAAATAAAAAATACATGTCTGTTTTTTTTTAAACTGTACACTTTCAATAGATTAAAGTGTATGGTATGAAAGCTACATCTCAGTAAAACTGTTTAAACACAAGGGACAAAGGCAGTTAAAATACCCGAGTTCCACACTGGAGTACCAGGGCCGGAGTGCCAGCTCCGTCTCTGGCTTCCTGCTAATATGGACCCTGAGAGGCAGGAGTGACGGGTCAAGCAATCAGATTTCCTGCCATCTAAGTGGGAGAATCAGCTCCTTGCTTCAAGCCATCCAAGCCCCCACTGCAGGCGGCATCTGGAGAGGTAATTAGCAGATGGGAGATAGCTGGAGTCTCGCAACAGCCACCTGAGCAGACAGCCTGCTCCCGCAGACCAGTACAGCCACTGGATGGCTCTTTACAAAGTCTTCCGCCTGCCCCTGCTCTAAGTGGCCTGGGACACAGAATGCCCCAATTCAGCCTGAGGGTCTAGGCTCCGTTCCTGGCTGGCCAGATGCCCTGGGAAACCTGGGAGAGCGATCCAGAGGCTCTCCAGCCGACCCCGTACTCACCCGCACCTGGTTCCGATGGCCGTGCAGTCTTCTCACTCTCCTCCTGGCCCCACTGCTCTTCAGGACAAGGATTCTCTCCCCGCTCTATGCGGGTGAGGAGGTCTGGCTTTGAGACAGCGTAATCTGTATACAGAACAGGGAAGGAATGGGGAAAGGACTGGGTCCTAACTGCCCATAGGTAGGCTAACCTGCCCAAAGGAACAGAAGCAAAGACAGTGACTGCAGGCGGCCGCGCTGTGGACAGAGGCCCCAAAGCTCCCGAGGCAGCCTTACCCAGCGAGACCAGCGTCTCGTAGTTGCCCCTCATCACATGCTTGTAGAGCTCCTTCTGCCAGTCTTCCAGCTTGCCCCACTCCAGCTCCGAGAAATACACGGCCACATCATCAAAGGTCACGGGCACCTGGAACCACAAGTGTCACACTCGCCCACACCCTTACAGGTGCGGCTCCTCGGGCTCCCCCACCCCAGGGACACTCAAGGGCTACCTTGGGGACTTCCCCCTTGCTGCCCGGGGGCAGCCGCAGGATCCAGAAGTTCCTGTTGCGCAGCAGGTTCTCCACGTTCTCCAGGCGCCGCTGCAGCAGCCCGTACTCCTGCAGCAGCGTGCCCAGCACGGCCCACTTGCCCTCCAGCTGGTTGCCGAACTCCACGGCCGTCTTCTCGCAGTCGGCCAGCTTCTTCTCGGCTGTCCCCGCACGTCCCTCCAGGCTCTGCATTCGGTTCAGGCAGAAATCGACCTTCTTTTCCAAGGCCTGAATGGCGGCCACTACTGTCCACAGTGTGATCTCAGTGGAGTAGAGATAGGAGTTGTTCTCAGCAGCCGCTTGGGGCATGGAAGGTGTCGAAGGCTGCTGGGCCCCGGGGCATTTGTCCCTCTCGGGAGCCTGCTCACAGGAAGACAACAGAGAGACTTCAGAATCACCAGTCCGTCTTTGCCTCAGGAAGAAACCTCGGATTGGAATCAGGCTTCACAAACCCCCTTTTGAGGTCCTGGAGGCCAATCAGCAGCAAAATGTGGGGGGCGGAGATGCTGGGACAAGATTCGGGAGTCCCCATCTCAGTCCCAGGAGATACTGGCTGGACCAAGGTGCTGGCAAGTAAGCACAAGGAGGGCACACAGGGCCAAAGAACCCCGCATCTAGCCTCAGACAGCCGTCCTTTCCCGAATCTGTTTCCTCTGGACCCGCGACACAGCCCTGCAGCTCACAAGATGGTCACTTCCGGGAAAGTCATCAAATACCTCACACCTTCACTTCCACTTCTGGACAATGGCGATTAACCATAGCAGACACCTAACACGACTGTGAGAACTGAAGAGACCGAGCAGTTCCCCAAATCTGATCTTCACATCCCGACTAACCTCTCCGACCTCGCACCCTCCCTCGGCCACAGCCTCCTCCATCTTGCACTGCCTCCTCCCTGCCTGCCTCCCATCCTGAAGGCTCAGGCTTAACCAGTGCCTCCCAGAGGCTCTCACTGGCTGGCTGGCTGGCTGGCTGACACACAGCTGAACCCTGTCAGTCCCTTCCTTCCGAGCACTGATAGTCTATGGTAACTCCTAGGCCTCCCAGGCCCTAACAGGATTCCCATCGCTTCCCTCCCCTTACCCTCAGGGAACGAAACGGACTCACAAACTCATCAGCTGAGGGAGCATCCAAAAAAAAAAACTAGCTTTTGAAACTTCAAATAAATAAATCTTTTAAAAAAAGAGAACGAGGAGAGGCATAGAAAAAAATATTAATTGCTAAAAGAAAAAAAGCCATGTCTAATAATTCAGACAAGGGTTTATCAAGCCCCGTACATTTTTTTTTCTCAGTTTGTCAAAAATGGCCAAAGGATTTTTTCCACATTGGACACGCTGCATAAAATCTGCCAAACTAATTTTTTTTTAAGCAAAAAAAAAAAAAAAAAAATTCCAACCTACGTTCCGTTCGGTCTCTCGAAGTTGTTCCATTCAAGTGGTCTAATTCCCAAGTCCCGGCCTGGGCCACGGCGGCCCCCCGATGAGTGACCTTAGGCCAGTCCCTTTCCCACCGCTGCCGCGGGCCGCCCGGCCCTGCCCGCCCGCCCTGCCCGCCCTGCCCGCCGCGGGGCCTCCGGGCCTCCACCGAGACCACGCAGGGCGCAGACGTGCCTGCCCGACGTCGGGGCCTGGTGCTTTGGGCCGCCTGCTCGCTGGCCTGCACCGGGCCCGGACTTGCCACAGGTGGAGGGAGGAGGGCCGCGGCGCTCGGCCGAGGGGCCCGCGGGGGCCGAGCGATGAGACGCGGGCTGCGAGCTCCGAGGCCGCCCGCGGGGCCCTCCCGCCGGCCCGGCCGCAGCCAGGCTCCCTCGCCGGGGGCCCCAGCAGCAGCAAAGCCGGGGGTGGCCTCTCCCCGTCCGGGCATCAGCGGGCCCAGGGGCGCTTACCAGGGCGGGCGCCGTTTCGGCCATGGCTGGCTGTCGGCGTCCCTCTCTCTTGGTCGCGGTCCTCGGAACGGCCTGTCGGGCCTAGCCAGGCGCGGTGGCAACGGCGGAAGCGGGAGCGGGAGCCGCCCAGCCTCGGAGCTCCAGCCCGGCGGCCGCCAACTGCGTCCCGAGACACGTGCCCCGCTGGCCCTTTAAAAAAAAAAAAAAAAAAAACCACACACAGAGCTGCGCCGGCCGGCCGCGCCCGAGGGTGTGCACAGCGCCCCCTGCAGCCCGTAGGACCGCACGCCCGCGGCCGCCGCCCCGCACCAGCCCGCGCGGCCTTCCCGGCCCGCCCAGCCGCCCGCGGGCCCCGACCGAGCCGACGCCCCGGGGCCGGGCAGCTGGGGGCGCGCCGCGGCCTCCAGCCGGGATCCGCGGGGCTGAGGGGAGCCCGGGGCCGCCAGCGACCCTCCACGCGGGGCTGGGACTCGGGGAGGCCCGGCGTCCCGTGCAGACCCGGTGAAGACGGAGCGATGGAGACTTGGGGCGTGAACACCTGTGTGTCGCATAGAGGGCGGTCCTCGCCCGGTGCCTGAGTCCTCAAATACGCCCAGATAGCCCGCTTATTAATCTGAGTAAAGAGGAAAAAGTATATATTGTGCATCCTGGGGAGCCAGGAAGAGATTTTTTGTTGTTCCTTTCTTCAGGAAAAATGTACTTAATTAAAAAGAGAAAAAAGCTTCCTCTTCCCCAAATCCCAGGATCTAAACCTTTGTAAGGTGCTAGGCCTTGTCCCTCTCCCCCAGGGCCGAGCCCTCGAGAATAGAACCCCCTGAAGTCCCCTTGGCCACACCAGTCTTGCTATGCAGGTCACAGCTCACCCACCATACTCAGGTGACGTTGGCTGCAGGCTGGGATCACAGCTGGTTAAGCCATCACTTCGTGCCAGCACTTAGCGGAGACCCATTTGTCTTCTCCGTTATCCGACAGTCTTGTGCGCTGGATATGAAATAAAATATGCTGTGTGCCGCTCAGGCTTTCCATTCTGTGTTTCCAATCCCTCTGCCCAACAAGCCAGCAAACTTTTCCCATTAGAAGCTGGTCTGCAATTCTGTCTTGGTTGGGGTTCTTCTGCAGAGTATTCCCCAAAACAACACAAAAGTGTGCTCAACTAACAGTACCAGAACACAAAGAAACCAGGACCTTAAGAAAAGTGCACCCCTAGAACTAGGGCCAAGATAACTTGAGGACACACAAAAAAATCAAGTCAACACTTAACATTATTCATTTTGGAATCCTTGTTGAAGTAGCCTAACCTAAGAGAAAAAAGTTGCAAATGTGTCCTGAAAAGGGTTTATGTCCAATGTAAAGAGCCTGGAAAATAGAAAATGATAGCATTCAACAAACTCTGCTCAGGGAAGAGTGTCTTAATTTTTTTTTTTTAAAAAAAGGTTTATTTACTTTTATTCGAAAAGCAGATTTACAGAGGACAGAGTTATCTTCCATCCGCTGGTTCACTCCCCAAATGGCCACAACAGCCCGAGATGAGCCCATCTGAAGCCAGGAGTCTCCCACATGCATACAGGGTCCCAAGGCTTTGGGCCGTCCTCTGCTGCTTTCCTAGGCCATGAGCAGGGAGCTGGGTGGGAAGTGGAGCAGTCAGGACACAAACTGGTGCCCACATGGGATTTGGCGCTTCAAGCTGAAGGATTAACCTGCTGGGCCCTGGTACTGCCCCCTGAGTGTGATCATTTTTTAAAATGTTCTCGTTTTATTTGAAAGACAAATATATCTTTCATTTGTGGTTTACTTGCCAAATGCTTGCAATAGCCAGGGCTGGGCTAGGCCGAAACTTGGATTCCAGAATTCAATGTGAGTCTCCAATGTTGGTGGCAGGTACCCCAGTACTTGAGGCAACCCCTGCTGTCTTTCAGGGGGCTGTGCATCAATAGAAAACTGGATGGGAAACAGCAGCAGAACAAAAACTCAAGCAACTCTCACAGGAAATCTGCCAAACACCTGCTCCAGGATGCTGACAGCTGGCTTCGTTTGTTGAAAAAAGTTGAAGTGAACAGTACTCAAATCCTTGTGTATATCACCTTCTCTCGGGGGGAAGGTTGGGGATTGGCATCTGTCAGTTGTTCCCAGGACATGGTCACTCCACTGGCCCTACGTCCCACTTCCACACTCTGATTGTCAAATTGTATTTAAAAATAACACACTTTGTATCGGACTGTGGTTTCCCGGGTGTCATGGCAGGTGTAGCTCTGACAAAAATGAGAATGACTTTCATCCTTGATTATGCATCTCCCTCCTGTGAGGTGGGAACTTTTCCTCATCTGGTCTCTGGGGCCTGGACACCTCTTGTGCAGTGACGGTAGTGGATGCTTACGGGCACAATACTGTCAATGTGAATCAGAATTGCACTGAAAGTAAGACACCTGAACGTACTGAATAAAATCCCAACTCCTTAACCAGTCCCAACCTGTTCATGCCTTTCCCTCTGACCGAACTGGATGAATTGCTGGTTCTCTGTATGTGTCCTATATTGTTTCTTACCCTCATCATGTTGCCTTTTGTTCTGCCGAGAGTGATTTAGCTATTTGTAACGTCATTTACGGGCCACACACAATTATTAAACACTAGCCTGATGGGCTGGCACTCCGCTGTCTGCTACTTGTCTGGGAAAGCAAAAGCTATCCTGAGTCTGAACCCCTACACTTCTGGGGGAGACCTGCTGGAGTCCAGCTCCAACCATTGCAATCATTTGCACAGTGATTTGACTCACAGAGTTTTGTGCAACTTTACCTTTAAAATAATTTTTTTAAATAGCCTGCTACAGATTTATTGAATCTCATATCCTATTTGCAGTTGTTTGGCAGAGCCAAAGCAAAAGATTTTGTAAGCCTTATTGGAATGGATGTTCCCCCATTTATAAAGTCCTTCTTCCACCTTTAACAGCTAGCTGAACAGTAGTTACCTCTCAAAATCCTTTGAAGTCTCATAGCCAATAACCTCACTGAAGACAGATACTTTGCTGTCTTGCACTGGCTCGCTTTAATAGCCTGTAAACTAAAGCAAGTGATCCAATCTACCGTCCTAGCCCTCTGTAGGGTTTTGCACACACAGAATACATGCGCCCCAGCACAGAATGGAACACTGTGCCAGACTAGGAAAGGGCTGTGCAAAAATGCAGCAGAGAACTGACTTTGGCTCAACAACTCAACTAGAACAAGATCCTTGCTTCATTCACTGGTATATCACCAGAATTCAAAAGTCCTGCCTAGCAAACAGGTGCTCAATGAAAGAAACGTATCAAGGAAAGCTTCACAAGAGGCTGGTAAACCGATAAATACTCTTTTCATTTCTCTTCACAGAGAAGATTCCTGGGAGAAAAGTATGGTTTATTCACTAAATGAGAAGAAGGCCTAGGTGGCAGAATGCAGAGTGGAGGATGAGTCCTGCTTAACAGGTGTGCTATCAGGAGCTGCAAATGTTGCTGCAAGGTTGCGGGGAAAGCCAATCTTCAGCTGTACTCTAGGTCAGTCTAGCGGCCAGGTAAGAGTACCACATAGTTGAGGCGAGTGCCGATGGGATGTCAGTTGTGGGAACATGAAGGAGAAGGCAGGACACACTAGAGGTACTGTGTCCTGTTCAATTTTTCTCTGAAATCTAAATTCACCATCTCTTTCAAATAATCCATTTCCTGCTTTCTTCTCAGCAATCAGGAGACATGTGGACTAGCAAGCAGAAAGGAGAATAACCTGTGCGTTGCTCGGGACAGAGGGAAGGCACGCCTCAGCATCCTGCCGCAATGCAGATTTAGAGGCAGGACTGAGAACCCGTCTGAGTCTGCCCGTCCCTGGGCTCTGGGGGATGCCAATGCTGCCAGGCCAGAGATGGCACTTGACCTCGCAGAAGCAAGAACAGCCCAGGGTGAAGTGTCTATACTCTGCCACAAGATGGTTTGGGTTCACATCCTCTCTGCCGTGTTACCTCTCTGGTCAGGACTTTCACCGTTCTCTTTATATAAAACGAGGTGAAATCAAACACACCACAGAGTTGTATGAGGACCAGTTGCATGTGAGATCAACACATGTGTTAAAGAAACGTTAGCAGTGCTCCGGTAAGTACAAGGACTCCCCTGCCCGAAGGCAGACAGTGGGCTGCAGTCAGGAGCTTGTCTTGCACTTTCCATCCCCGCAAAGCAAGGCATGAGGTTAGCTGCATCACAGTGCTCCACAACTGGCAGATATGAATATAACCAAGGATGGGCAAGGATACCTGTCATATAAAAGCAGAGAAGTAGGAAGAGACTGCAGACAGAACTTAGGGAAGCCGCTGCAGGGGTTTCCTACTTAGCATGAAGTTACACACGTCAGTGTCTCCCTGCAAAACTTGCCCCCCCACGTTCCATTTTCCATACCTTACAACAACTCCCTTTAATCTATTTTGTTCTTTTTTTTTTTTTTTTATCACCATACCCTTCTCAGTCGCCACAGGCAACAGTGATGTTTTGGATGTGTCTGGTGGATTCGCTCTTTAATTTACATGAATGGTACGGTCACAGACTTCTGTGCTGAACTTTCTACTCAGATTAAGGCCGACCTTTGGCTTCCAATGTCTCCAACTCACAATAGCAGCTGCCCAGGACTCCCTTGTGTAGCCAGCCACTGGCTCTTCCCCAAATGCCTGTGATGACCGGGACTGAGCTGGGGTCGGAGCAGGGAGCCATGGACTCAATCCGGGTCTCCCCGCTGACATGGGTCTCAGGAACTTGCCTACAACCTGGCCCAACGCAGCTGCTTCTAATGTGCACACAGCAGAAAGTCACAATCAAGAGTCAGAGGCAGGCTATCAAATCCAGGGTTCTGATGAAGACAGGGGTGTTGCAGTTACCAGCCTAAATGCTTGTCACCTCTCTCAGCCGTATTTTATCTGCCTTCTTTACCTCCTATACACCACCATAGAAAGAATCCTCTGGAAATTCTAAGCCTTCTCCCCTCCTTCTCAATGCTAACAGTGCAAATCAGGCTCATTCCTCTAACCCTGCTCCAGGTAAGGCACCTAGCACCGCACGCCTCCCCCACCCCCACTTCCCAGAAGACAGAAACAGAGCCTTTTTTTTTTTTTTCTGTTAGTAGTAACTTTTATTCTAGGCAACTGCAAATCACCCAAGGGGGACACTCAGAAATGATCTACAGGCCATCCTCACCCCTCCCCAACAGTGGGGCAGGAGACGCTCCTCAGACAAGCATCTGTGCGATCTCACTCCATCACCCGACACAGGCAATCCCTGGCCGGATGTGGCAAATGTCATCTGAGTAAATTTAAGTAATAAGCACAAATACATTAAAAAAACAAAACAAAACACCGATACAAGCTGAACAAACTTAAGCAACAAAGTAGTCTTCTACTGCAGGAGGCTGCAGAACCACAGGAGAACTGGGTTGGGACAGGAAGAACAGGAGAGAACCACAAGACTTGGAAACTTACCAGAACAAGACTGGGACCTTCAGCTACTTCACAGAAATTCTTACTCTCAGCAAGCGCTCTGGGTTGGCCCATGTTACTCTCCTCCTCTCAGTCCTTTAAGGAAATGTACCCCTTTGAAGAGCACCAAGCACCCTGCGAAGAGGAAGCCCAGCACTGTGTCCCCTATTCTCTGACCTAAGTGAGAGTGGGCTCAAAGAGCCCCATAAACTATTCCCTCCCAGAGGGCAGGCTCAGTCCCCATGTTAGGAACAACTTCTACAACTCTTGAAATTTAACAAGTGTTGGGTTACATATATATATTTAAGTCAACTAAAATCTAATTCCAAAAAAGGACCTTCAGAATAAGGTAGGCCATTCATTTAAATTATTTCTTCTACTTGTTATTAACAAAAAGGCTATAAAAAAGGAGGAAATGGAGAGTAATGCTTCCCAGGACACGTCCCCACATCTGCCCATTCTTACACGCTGGCTCAACCTTGCAGGAGACAAGAAATGCTGGGACAGGCCCTAGAACTAGCTACCTGTGGGGCCAAAACACCAACACCAGCCCACGAGTAATGGCCTGGAACAGAAAACCATCAATCGGAGGAGCCCAAAGAACCAGTGAGCCCAGCAGCAGGGTCAAGAGAGCAGGGAGAGGCCTGGCACTGGACTCCTCTTCCACTTGGTTCTCACCAATACATGTGAGCTTAGCCTGGTACTTGGTTAGGGAAGGCAAATCAGAAACAACTCCCCTTGGGAAGCAGTCAGTCTTTGATTCTGCATGTCTTTTCGGGGGTTTAATGCCACCCCCCCTCCGCCCCCGAGACGGGTGAGGGGCTGGCATCCTTAAAGCAGGCCATTGGGCTTTCCAGGCTCCAAGGCCAGCCCGCCGCGCTCCCGCTGGTGGATCTTCTGGTGTTGCAGGAGGTGCTGCTTCTGGACAAAGCTCTTCTCACACTCGGTGCAGCGGTAGGGCCGCTCCCCTGTGTGGATGCGCTGGTGCCGCACCAGGTCAGAGGGATGGCTGAAGCTCTTGCCACAGTAACCGCAGATGAGGGAACTCCGGCTTTTCCTCCAAGGAATGTGGCCAGGAAGGGCAACCAGGCTGTTGGGCGAGAACCGTTCCTGGATGCACTGGCCAGCACTGGGCCCCTCCTGCAGGTGGTAGCGCTGATGGGTCACCAGGCTCACCTTACAGCTGAAGCTCCTCAGACATACATCACATTGATGCAGCTTTGCCTTCTTGCTTGGGGGTTTCAGCCGTGGCTTGGGCCGAAGACTCTCGGTTGGCTCTGCTGCTGTGTAAGACTCCCACCCCGAGTGGCTCCGCAGATGGGTAGCCAGCTGCTGCTTGTAGCGGAAGCTGATCTCACACTCTGAACACTGGTAGGAGCTAGAAGTGTCCCTTTTTAGCTTCAGGCCTTGCCCACACTCCTGACCTGGATGCACCTGCCTATGGGATTTCTGCTTTGGGGGGCAGCCCAGAATTTGGCCACTGCTGGGGTCTCTACTACACACAGGCTCCTCTAGATTAGAGTCTCCAGGGCCTGATTCCAAGAAGACAGACGCACTCTGACTGTCCCAGAATTCAGCCTGGGGTGGGTTCAGGAAAGCCTGGTCTTCAGTGATGCCCGAGAACTCTCCCGGAAGGCCTGCAGAGTGTTCCGGTTGGTACTGCAGCTCCTGTCTGACCATGACCCCATCTGCAAAGCAAAACAAGAGCAACGAAAAGATTATAGGCTAGTACCTTTATTACCAAGCAAACATCTGTGGATTTCAGAAAAGTGCAAACCGAAGCAACCCTGGGGTAAGCAAACTAGGACAATCTGCAAGAGCATAGGACTAATAACCTACATGATGTGTAAGCAGACAAGTTGACTGGATGCCTAAGTAGATCATTCTCTCCAGACTTGTCTACAAATTTGTATTTAATCTGTGAGAAAAATAGCAAAACATACCATAACAAGTACATTCATTTAAAAATAGTGCTAATGCGTTAAACTTATGAGTAAGAAAAAATAGTGCTAAAATAACAAACATGAATGACTAAAAGAAAACAAGCTAAATTGTAGCTTAAAATTTCACCTACTGAGCTCTGTTTTTCCTGTAATGCTCCCCAATGGAACTGCTTACAAACACTTCCTCAACTGCCTTTCCTCCAGCAGTTTGGACCACAGTCTACCACGCAGTCTCCTCTTCAGCACGTGCAGGGTCGAGGGAACACTAGTCTCAAGGACCCCAGAGTGGCAGGGTTAAGACAGACATAGAAACAGTGGCAACACCAGCAGATGCCAGCACCTGTCTACAGTAGGTGTTTGGCAGGTCAGCCGTGGGAAAGCTGACTAAGGCTACAGGGAGCTGTGGGGGCGGGAAAGGAAGACAGAATGAGCTGCAGCTACTCACCTGGATGGGCACCACCAGGGTCTTCTTTCTCCAAGTCACCCAACATCTCACCACTCAACTCTGCTTCTTCCTCTGGCTGGCCAAGGACCTCTGCATTGGAAATAGACACGGTGAGGCCAGGAGAGAACAAAAGCTCATCCACACTGGTCAACTGCCAATGAACAAGACGATCAATGGTAAGCAGTAGATAACTAAAACTTCCCAGAGGTCCAAAGGCTATCATTCTTGCCCCTTCCACAATGAGAAAATCCTGGTAGAGCTGCCGTGGGGGGCTGGCTGCTTGTGGGGCACAAAAGGCCTGGCTCTGAGCCCACGCTCCACAGTGAGCAGCCACCATGTGGGTCCACGGCCTTGAGGGCCTGGGTGATGATGCCGGCAGGGGTGTGTGGCGACCTAGGGCTTCACGTCTGGGCAGGTGGAGAGAGCCTGGGGATCTCCCCATGTGCATGGTCCATGGATTGATCAGAGAGGTGAGTAAAGGGACATGTCGGAGGGAAAACGTTGCAGGTGAGGAATGACTTCTGAGGGACTTCTGTCAAAGCCAGTGTACTTGCAGGTAAGAGAGAGGGCTGAGACCAAGCGGTATGGGGGTAGGGCAGAAGCTGAAGGACTTTTATGGATTACAGTCAACCACCACCCACAAGAAAACACTAAAGACAGGGCTGGGGGCCCGCCAGGCAGGACTAGATCACAGTACTAGCCAGTGAGAGTTGAACAGGGGATGGGTAATGTGAGGCTAAGTCATGGCACTAACTAGCATGCAAGAGAACCAGGTCTAGGGGCAGATTCTGTGGGCAATGTGTAGCCTCACTCCAGTGGCTTGCTTAAGAGCTGGGGGTAGTGACTAGCTGAACAAGGCATTATCATAGAACTCTCCAACACTCATGGGTACTGGGGTTGGGAACAGGCTGAGTTGGTCCAAGCTGCAGCACAAGTAGGTGCACCCAAGAACGGGCTATAGTGTGAGCCAGGCCACAACACTTCACTAGCTCATACAAAGGCCAGGACAGACAGGGCAGACTATGCTGGGTGAGGGCCTAGTACCTGCTGCCACATGTGAGCTCTAAGTCTGGGAGTGGGCCTGGTGGAAACCTGGGAAACTTCCCTGGTAGGCCACAGCTCCCACTGGTGAACATCTGATTCAAGCCTGGGTGTTAGGCTGGGCAGGGTAGCTCTACCTATTGGCAAGTGTATGGGTTGGTTTTGGAAGGGGGTGGGCCGAGCAGGGCCAGACCAACCTTAGCTCTCTGGCATATGCAGGAGCCACACTAAAGTGCAGGGCATGCGGGAGTAGGCTATCACACCTACTGGTTTGCAGGAGTCAGGGATGGGAACAGACTGGGCAGGACCAACAAGAGTTGGGACTGGGGGGCTGGCTGGGACAGATCAGGCTGCAGCATGCACTGGCAAAGGCCAAGACAGGGGATCGGCTATGCTGAACTGGGTCAGAGCAACCACTGGCACACACAAGATCTGGGGCTGGGGACCTAAGCGAACACCTCAACTGGGTTCCCCCTGACGAGTGCAAGAGCCAGAATAGGGGGTGGCATTCTGGGCTGCACATGACTGCAGTATTTCTCAGAATGGATTTGGAGTGGGTCTGGGGTAAGTCAGACTGGGGCTAGACTCTAGCACACTCTGGTGCTCATGAGAGCCAGAGTAGGTGTGAAATGTGCTGGGCTAGGTCTCAGCTCCCACTGAATCACATAAGAGCTATATCTGAGTATGAACCAGGGGTGCCTGGCTGTAACACGCAGCAGTAAGAACCAGAATGGGGGGGTAGCGCAGTAGGCTAGCGGCTAAAGTCCTCGCCTTGAACGCGCCAGGATCCCATATGAGTGCCAGTTCTAATCCCGGTGGCACCACTTCCCATCCAGCTCCCTACTTGTGGCCTGGGAAACAGTCAAGGGTGTCCCAAAGCCTTGGGACCCTGCATCCATGTGGGAGACCCGGAAGAGGCTCCTGGCTCCTGGCTTCAGATCAGCACAGCTCTAGCTATTGCAGCCGCTTGGGGAGTGATCACTGGATGAAGGATCTTCCTCTGTATATCTGACGTTCCAATAAAAAAATAAAATGAATCCTTAAAAAAAAAAAAAAAGAATCAGAATGGATGTGGGCCAGTTGGGCAAGGTCATTGCTTCTGTGAGGACAGGAGGTGGACTGAGTCAGGCTGGTCCAGTTGAACTGCTGGACTCAGAACTGCAACCATGCAGAGAATCGCAGGACCTGTGGTCTGACCATGCAGTGCATGTGTCATAACTGGACCTCCGCGCTAAGACAGAGCAGTTGACAGCACACCCAGACGCACAAGGAAGATATGGCAGCCCACTGGGGGCATACAAAGGACATCGGGTACCATAGCAGAGGAAGGAGAGCAGAATAAATTGGTCAACCACACCAGCCAAGTTTTTTTATATTTGATAGCAAATATCTGGATTAAAGGGGACTCTGGGATGGACTATGTCAACAGATGGACCTTGGAAGAATTTCCTGATCCTTGGATCAGCTAGATCAATAGCATTTTAGAACTATCGAAACTACTTGGGCAGAATCCTTAGAAAAGGCTCTACATTGAAAACCCAGGGATGGCATCGGGCAGCTGTGCCCTATCCCCGGGTACTGGGGAGGCAGGGTACAACTTTTCCTAAATTCCCCTCTTTGCCCAGGTACAGGAGGAATGGGGGTGGGGAAGATTTATAAACAATGGTCTCACTCTGGTCAATTATGTAAACATCATCAAAAAATAAAAAACAAACAACTTTCCTCCCCTCCCCCCGCCCCAGACACACAAACAAGAAATTGTGGTAAACTTTGCCACTCTCAGGCCTGGCGCTGTGGCCTTGTGGCTAAACTCCTTGCCCTGAACGCGTCAGGATCCCATATGGGCGCTGCTTCTAATCCTGCAGCTCCACTTCCTATCCAGCTCCCCGCTTGTGGCCTGGGAAAGCAGTGGAGGATGGCCCAAAGCCTTGGGACCCTGCACCCGCATGGGAGACCTGGAGGAAGTTCCTGGCTCCTGGCTTCGGATCGGCACAGCACCGGCTGTTGCGGCCACTTAGGGAGTGAATCATTGGTTGGAAGATCTTCCTCTCTGTCTCTCCTCCTCTCTGTATATTTGACTTTCCAATAAAAATAAAATAAATCTTGAAAAAAAAAATGGTCACTCTCCTAAGGACTGTGTACTGTCTTCCAGTGTGCCTTGCATTGAGGCTGGGCCAGTACAGCCCAACAGATGTCTGTGAACTAGGAGGGAAGGACAGAAAAATCAAGGCCCAAACAGGCAAGTTAAGTCTTCTCTCGTGTAATAAAGGCCACTATTCTATTAAAAAAAAAAAAGAAAAGAAATCCTGGGTCAGGCACAGTAACACAGCAGCTAAATCCTCACCCGATGAGTGCCAGTTCGTATCCTGGCTGCTCCACTTCCCATTCAGCTCCCTGCTTGTGGCCTGGGAGGGCAGAGGATGGCCCAAAGCCTGTTGTGGCCACTTATGCAGTAGATCAGTGGATGAAAGATCTTCCTCTCAATCTCTCCTACTTTCTGTATATCTGGCTTGCCAATAAAAATAAGTAAATCTTAAAAAAAAAAAAAAAAGTTAATTTTGATGAATCCTAATGAAGAAGTCACCACTGCTCTATCATTAAGGACACTGATGGTTAAGTTAGCCCGACTACAGAGCCCTTCTTGTCACCCTCAACATCACCACCACATTGGCTGAGGCCAATGCTTTCCTTAAGTAATCTAAGTTCATGCTTGCAAGGGCACTACAACAAGGTAACAGCTACTGGGACTAACAAAGAAATAACCAAGGTCACACTCACCTCTCTGGCCCATTTGCTACTGCCTGCCCCCTCACTCTGATCCAGCCAAGGCCTTGGGCCCCTGTACCTGCCTGGGAGACCTGGAAGAAGCTCCTGGCTCCTGGCTCCCAGCTTTGGATGTCCAGCCGTTGCAGACATATGGGGAATGAACCAGTGTATGGAAGATTTCTCTGTCTCTCCTTTCTGTAATCTGCCCTTCGACAATAAATAAGTCAATCTTAAAAGCAGAAAGAGCCCTAGCAATATGACACCACCATGTACAATGACGTCGTATCTCATAGTAAACACTTTCCAGGACTGACTGTGACACGGAGGGAAAAGCACAAAAGAGCGAAGCGGAGAACTTTCCAGACTTCTCTGTAAGTGGGAGGAGTGCAGACGTGCAGCTGCCCACGGCCCCAGCAGGCACAGGCCACCAGAGTATCTAAGACGGGGCTCTGGGGGAAGGCTGTTACTCACTCAGGGACACCAGTGTCTCATAGTTGCTCTGCATCACATTTCGGTAGAGCTCCTTCTGCCAGTCCTCCAGATTCTCCCACTCCTGCTCAGTGAAACAGACACCATCATTCTCAAGCGATCTGGACACCTGAAATCACAATTGGCACACAAAAGCATGATGACTCACTGCCAGGAGGGAAGAACCTGAGAGGGGTCCCATCCCCATTCTTGCCTGACTTTAAGAGTTAACAAGGGGCCTGGTGTGATAGTGAAGTGGTTAAGGTCCTCGCCTCGCCGGTTCTACCGGTTCTAATCCCAGCAGCCCCACCTCCCATCCAGCTCCCTGCTTGTGGCCTGGGAAAGCAGTCAAGGACGGCCAAAAGCCTTGGGACCCTGCACCCGAGTGGGAGACCTGGAGGAGCTCCTGGCTCCTCGTTTTGGATTGGCTCAGCTACAGGTGTTGTGGTCACTTGGGCAGTGAATCATTGGAAGGAAGATCTTCCTCACTGTCTCTACTCCTCTCTGTGTATCTGACTTTCCAACAAAAACAAATCTTGAAAAAAAAAACAGAGTTAATGAGGCTACCTTGGGGGCTTCCCCCTTGCTGCCCGGGGGCAGCCGCAGCACCCAGAAGTTCCTGTTGCGCAGCAGGTTCTCCACGTTCTCCAGGCGCCGCTGCAGCAGCCCGTACTCCTGCAGCAGCGTGCCCAGCACGGCCCACTTGCTCTCCAGCTGGTTGCCGAACTCCACGGCCGTCTTCTCGCAGTCGGCCAGCTTCTTCTCGGCCGTCCCCGCACGTCCCTCCAGGCTCTGCAGCCTGGCTGCCTGGGACTCCAGCTGCTTCTCAACAGCCTGGAGAGCAGCCACTACTGTCCAGAGGGAGACCTCTGTGGTCTGGAAATAGGAACTTTTCTCCGTGGCTTGTGCAGGAGGTGTGGAAGAACTTAAAGGAGTGGAGCGTCGTTTTCTCCTGTGCTGAAAGATCAGACACGGGCGTCAGAAAAGGTCATTCCAAACATCCAGTAAACAAAGCAGTGTCCCTATCTACCAGTTACTCAGAACAGGGGATGGCTAATGTTAGGCTGGGCCATGGCACTGACCAGCACGTGAGAGAACTGCGTCTGGAAAAAATCGTCTCTATCTCCTTCCTTCTGCAGATCTGACTTTCCAATAAAAATAAATAAATACGTATAAAAATATTTTATTATCTTTATGAAAAAAATATCTATTTTATTATTTTTACTGCAAGGTCAGATCTACAGAGAGAAGGAGATACAGAAAGACCTTTCATCTGCTGGTTCACTCCCCACATGGCTGCAACAGCTGGAGTTGAGCCGGTTCAAACCCTGAAGACAGGAGCCTCTGTGGGGTCTCCTGCGCAGGTGCAGGGTCCCAAGGCTTTGCACCGTCCTCTACTGCTTTCCCAGGCCACAACAGGGAGCTGGATGGGAAGTAGAGAAGCCAGGACACGAATCAGCGCCCATATGGAATCTCTGTGGTTGCAAGGCAAAGATTTAGCCATCAAGCTGCACCAGGCCCTCATATTGCTCATTTTAACACAGGTCTAATTTAATTCACAGATAATAACTGTCTAGCTACAAGGGATGGTGTGATTAATGGATCAACTCAGAACATTCAGATTATTCATCATCTGAGACATTGATATCTTTGTAATGAAACGTTTACGTATTTCATGACCTGTGTTTCACTCTTGGCATATTCTATGAGATTTTCCCGTGTCAGTGTTCATTTCTTTAAGCCAGTTTGTCTGATATTTTGGGCTACAGGATAAACAGGATGATGTACTTTGCAGTCAGGCTTCACTGATAATCATGTCACCACTGTTAAAAATCTTTCCTCTAGGCCCGGCACCATAGCCTAGCGCCTAAAGTCCTCGCCTTGCACATGGCTGGGATCCCATACAGGCACCAGTTCGTGTCCCAGTGGCACCACTTCCCATCCAGCTCCCTGCTTGTGGTCTGGGAAAGCAGTCGAGGACAGCCCAAAACCTTGGGACCCTGCACCAACGTAGAAGACGTAGAGAAAGTTCCTGGCTCCTGGCTTCGGATTGGCTCAGCTCTGGCCATTGTGGCCACTTGGGGAGTGAAGCAGCGGATGGAAGATCTTCCTCTCTGTCTCCTCTCATCTCTGTATATCTGACTTTCTAATAAAACTAAATAAAATCTTAAATAAATAAACACCTTTCCAAGGCTCCAGACAAAAAAGACAAACTTCCTTACCACACCTACCCACAAGACCTAACTGATTCTCCTGTGCATCCTAGCAACCAGTACAGGCAACAGCACATAGCCAATCCTTTTTTTTTTTTTTTAAAGATTTATTTATTTTTTTTATTGGGAAGGCGGATATACAGAGAGGAGAGACAGAGAGGAAGATCTTCCGTCCGATGATTCACGCCCCAAGTGAGCACAACGGGCCGATACTACGCCGATCCGAAGCCAGGAGCCTCTTCCGGGTCTCCCGCGCAGGTGCAGGGTCCCAAAGCTTTGGGTTGTCCTTGACTGCTTTCCCAGGCCACAGGCAGGGAGCTGGATGGGAAGCAGGGCCGCCGGGACTAGAACCAGCGCCCATATGGGATCCCGGGCGTGCAAGGCGAGGACCTTAACCACTGCGCCATGGTGCCGGGCCCCCATAGCCAATCCTTAATAAACACTTACTACAATGATTTTGTTAAACCTAAAAGCATTTTCCTTCTAATCCTCCAATTCTCATTGCCCCACCGCATGTTCATTTCAGTCCCCAAGCCTCCAACACGCCACATTCCTTCGCATGACACACACTGTATTCAAGGCTGTCTCTACAGCAGGACCTGAGACGGAGATGCTGAGAGGAAGTATCCCAGAAAAAATTGTTTGGGACAGCATGACAGTCTCAGACACACATGGACAACATGAAACAAGATGGAAAGAAATGACACTTAAAGTTTGACGCAAACCCACTTGAGTCATTCCACTCAGTTAATTCATTTAATTGAGAGGGTTCGAACACAGGTGACCAAAGTGTAGGGTCACACAGCGATATATTCCTCTGGCTGTGGCTCCAGTGTTCCATATGGGTGGCGGTTGGAGTCCTGGCTGCTCCACTTCCCATCCAGCTCCCTGCTCGTGGCCTGGGAAAGCAGTCGAGGACGGTCCAAAGCCTTGGGACCCTGTATCCGAGAGGGAGACCCGGAGGAAACTCCGGACTTCCGATCAGCTCAACATCGGCCATTGTGGCCACTTGGGGAGTGAATCATCAGATGGAAGATCCTCTCTGGCTCTCCTCCTCTCTCTCTATATCCGACTTTGCAATAAAAATAAATAAAATCTTTTTTTAAAAAATCTGCCATGACAAAAGCATAGGTTATCCACAGAGTTGGGTGAACTTGGGGGACAGGGGAGGAGGGAGCAATTTGCCAGTGCTCACTTAGTTCTGTGTTTTTTATTTTCTTTTTAAACATTGTTTTCCTAGTTGAGAGGGATGCACACCCGTGTACGCCTCCGCTTAGGGTGGGGACGTGCAGGCCTGGAGGAAGGTACGTGGGAAAAATATTTCTGTTTTTTTCCTTCTCTCCTGCATCTGGGGGAGGGAGGGGAGCGCTCCTTGCTGTGAATACAACAGCAGATTGGGGCGACTCTTTAAGGCGCCCTCTTAGCAGGGAGTACTGACATACATGCGGAAGTACCTGCGCAAACTCCTCTAATTTGGTCTTGAGGAAAACCCAACTCGTTGGCCGAGTTTAAAGGAGCCAGGTGTGGGAGATGCTGCCAACCTCCATGCCTTGTCTTCCCACCTGAACTGGTAAATTGCTGGGAAGCAAACACAGTGTCCTCTAGGCCTTCCCAGTGCCCCTTCTTACCCACTCCCTCCGCACAATCCCTGGAGTTCCCGCCCTGCACGGCCAAGTTCTCACTACCCAGCATTTCCACGAAGACCTCACATGCATTTCAAAGTACTCTGTAGCAAGAAATGCTACATGGCTACAAGGCAATTCCATCTGCCCTTCCCTGTATTCTCCAGCATCGCTGTTAGTCTCCCAGATGAGAGGAGAAGCGAGGAGAAGCCAGGAGAAGCCAGGAGAAGCCCGGGGCATCATCCGGGCAGGGCAGACGCGCAGCCAGGGGCTTGCATCCCCCGCTGGCCGGCTGAGAGCTGGCTGCCAGTGTCCGGGGCTGTCCCGAGGGGGCACGGCTGAGCAGGGGGACCAGGCCGGCCCAGGGGGAGCGCAGACGGCTGGCTCCACACACACTGCACTTCGCACCTGGCCCCAAAGGGACCGCCACCTGTGACCGTGAACCCAGCAGAGCCACAGGCGGGAAGGAAGGGAGTCCTGGGCACACCCCACACACACACACCTACACACACACTCCTACACACACACCTACACACACACCTACACATACACACTCCTTCCAACACACACACTCTGCCAGACACACCTACACACACACTCCTACACACACACACCTCCCGACACACGCACACACACTCCTCCTGACACACACACTCCTACACACACACCTACACATACACATTCCTTCCAACACACACACTCTGCCAGACACACCTACACACACTCCACCCGACACATACACTCTTACACACACTCCTCCCAACACACACTCCTCTCGACGCACACACACACTCCTCCCAACACACACAGTCCTCCCAACACACACACACACACTCCTCCCGACACACACTCTCCTCCCAACACACACACACACTCCTCCCAACACACACACACTCCTCCCGACACACACACTCCTACACACACACTCCTCCCAACACACACACACACTCCTCCCGACACACACACACACTCCTCCCAACACACACACAGTCCTCCCGACACACACACTCCTCCCAACACACGCACACACACTCCTCCCAACACACACACACACTCCTCCCAACACACACACTCCTCCCAACACACACACACACTCCTCCCGACACACACACACTCCTCCCGACACACACACAATCCTCCCGACACACACACAATCCTCCCAACACACACTCCTACACACACACTCCTCCCGACACACACACTCCTCCCGAGGGCGCGCGGCGCAGGACCCCCAAAGCTCCTCACACCCAGCCCCACACCGAGTCCCCACCACGAAGGCCCGCCCTGGAAGAGCATTCCGCCATCCCGGACGCGTCCTCCACGGCCAGGGGCCGCTTACCCGAGCAGGGGCCGACTCCGCCATGGCTCCAGCAGCCTCGCGAACCCCGAGTCCCGCCCGAAAGCCCTCAGACGCCGCGCCGCTCAGGCAGACAACCAGGGACGCTTCGGCAAGCCGCCTCAGCCACGGTGTTGATACAAGGTGCATTCTGGGAGCCAAGACGCGTTTCCCCCGCTTGTTCGCGCCTCCCCCGGATTACCATCGCGCCCCCGTGCGGCCGGAGGGTGAACAGCAGCGTGCAACAAAAGAAAACCAGCCTGGAGTCCAGCAAAGTCAAAAACAAGGTCCGAAATTAGGACAAACCTCCGGGCCCTTATTGTGGCTTGAGTGTGCTCAGAATCCTGATAAGTATTTTTAGTGGATTTTTGAAAAAGTATAAAAATTCAGTATATTTTTGAAAAAGTATAAAAATTTTCTTGGAGAAAAAATACGCGGTCTTAGATGGCAAGTGGTTCTATCCCGAAAGTTCACCTGCTATGTGACTTTATATAAACCAGAAACACAGTTTCCAGCAGTGTAGGGTCAAGTACCCAAACCAGTTCACTGTAGTCAATCATTGTAAACACGCATCTTTCAAAATACAAGATAACTCTCATTTCAAATATTTACTTCAAATTTACTTTAGTCCTCATGCTACATGTTAGGTTGTGTGCTTGGAGTTTTGGTTTGGCGTGCATGAATGCATAACCATTAAGCACTATGTACTTTAAACCCAACACCAGGACAGTATGCAAGTTTGAGTCCTTGCTACTCAGATTTCAATGCAGCTTTCCTCTAATGCACCTGGGAGGGCAGCAGAAGCTGGCCCTGACACCTGTATGGGAAACGCAGATGGAGCTCCTGGCTTCAGCCTGGAGCAGACCTAGCTGTTGCAGCCATATGGAAAGCAAACCAGTGGATGGAAGATTCTTTCTCTCATTCTCTCTCTCTCTCAGGCTCTGTGTTTTAAATAAACAAATTTTTGGAAAAAAAAAATCCAGTTCCAGGAACACTGCTACAGCTATACCTGCTTATTTTTTTTCAGGATGTATTTGTCTTTATTGGAAAGGCAGATTTACAGAGAGAAGGAGATACAGAGAGAAAAAATCTTCCATCTGTTGATTCACTCCCCAAGTGGCAACAACAGCCGGGACACAAACTGGAGTGCATATGGGATCCCAGCACTGAGAAGGCAAGGACTCATCACGCTGAGCCCTGCACTTGTAAATTTATAACATACTGTCTACATAAACACGGGCCACGAACTTCATTTCAAGTGGTAGACATCAGGTGCTGCTTCTGGGAACTTAGCTCTTCACACCAACAGAAAATCACTGCACGTCGCCGCACAGACCCTGCTTCGCTGAGATACTACCTGTCCGCTTGTCTACAGCGCAAAGTTCCCTCCACCCGACAAAACCCTACTGCTCGTGCCAGACATTTCTTGCAGAGAATATCACTATCAGCAGTTTTGAATCAGCACCATCACATAGCAAGCTAGGCCTCTACCTAACAACCCATTTGGGTACTATTCCACTTCTGATCTAATTCTCTACTTGGGGCCTGGAAAAGCAGCAGAGGATGACGGAAGTTTTGGGATCCTGCACCCACGTGGGAGACCCAGAAGAAGTTCCTGGCTCTGGGCTTGGGATCAGCTCAGGTCAGCTCCAGGTTGTTCACTCATTTGGGGAGTGAACCAGTGGATGGAATACTTCTTTCACTGTTTCTCCTTCTCTCTCTCTCTCTCTGTAAAACCTTTCAAAAAATAAATATGTTTAAAAATAACAAAAAATAAGTGGTGCAAAGTATCTTTGACATCATACATATTTTTTCGTAAAACACATACTTCATGTTTTGAAGAGACTTCATACTGAGCGATTGACAACCTGGATACCGCCACCTAAGTGCCCTGGATGAGTGGGTGACAAGGTTTATTGTTTGTTTTTACTTATTACCCTTTCTCACATTTTGAATTTTGATTGTTTTGGTGTAAAATCTATTCAAAGTTTTACTAATTATTGAAAAACTAGTACAGAAGTCCTCTTAGGAATAGTGTGTTGTTGTTAGTAAACATGTTTTAATCCCATCTTCTATGAACTTTTTTACTATTTTTTAATTATCTGAAAAGCAAAGAGAGAGATTCCATCTGTGGGCTTTCTCCCCAACTGCCGGTAATATCCAGGGCTAGGCCAGGCCGAACCCAGAAGCCTAAAACTCAATCCAGATGTCCCACATGGGTAGCATGGACCTAAGTACTTGGGCCACCTCCTGCAGCGTGTAATACCAGGATGCTAGAATTGGAAACAGAGCTGAGACAAGCAGCCAAGCACTCCCATATGGGACACAGGCATCCCATGCGTATCTTTCTTCTTAAAATTTATTATCTGAAAGGAAGAATGACAGAGAATGAGAGATCTGGCCAGGTCAAAGACAGGAGCCAGGAACTCTATCCTGGTCGCCCGTGTGGGTGGCAAGGGGCCAAGCATGTGGGTCAGCACTCACCGCCTTCCTGGGCACACCAATAGGGAGCTGCACTTGAAGAGGAGTAGCCAGCACTCCAACAGGAACTTCACTACAAGCAGCAGCTTCACGTGCTATGCCACAATGCCCGCTGCAGGGACCAAGTGCATCTTAACTACTGGTTCTGGTCCTAAGTGTCCTCCCGTTTTCTCATTCATCTCCAACGCCCAGTACCCAGGAACCAGATCTCACAGAGCCTATTTCGGTGCCTAGATCTTTGGCCATAACTGTTTACCTGTTGGTTTGCTTTCAGTGCTGCCTGGCTCCAATCTGCCTTCTTAGAGTTTGATCCACCTCCTTCCTCACCCCAGAATCGAGGTGTATGCTCTCAGCTTTTAAGGGGTCCCATGGGGCCACACTGCATTGAATATCCCCCCTCCTCCCTGCTCATAGCCTGGCTCAGCCTCACCATCCGGCTGCATCACCTACAACTTCTTCCCATCCACCCAGCTTGGGCCACCCGAGTCTACTGCGTTATATGCAGGTCATCTCCCTCCCTTGCTCATCCCCAGGCCACACAGCCCTCTTCCTCTGCTCCATCCAGCTTATTCCTCAGCCCCTGGCTCCTCTGTGAAGTTCCATTGGATCCTTGGAGGATCGTGAGCTCTCACGCCTTACATGAAACCCGGCCCCGCACCCCAGCCAATGCTGTTGCCATGGTTGCGCTTCCACTTCCGGTGGGTTTTTCTCCAGCTTCCATCACATTGTAGCCCCTGCAGTGCCTTTCTGGTATGTGCTAAACCCGACCAAGGCCATGTAAGCAGCACAGCACGAAGGCCAGCATCCTGGAGCCGTGGCAGTTGGTCCACTCTGGAAACACCACACGACTCTCTTCCAGAGCCTGTGCTAAGGATGAGGGAGATTCGGGGTACAGGCCGGGGTTGGGGGAGAGGCACGTGCTGCAGTGTATCACAGACTACAGAATGGAGACGTCATCGGTGCTCCCTCCTCAGTCACTAACCCTCTGAGAATTAGCTGCTTGAGGGTAAAGCAGACAGATGAGAGCCAAGTGTTCAAATATTTGAATCTGGATCTCAGCAGTGATTTCTTCCTCTTCCTTATACTCCCAGGAGGAAAAAAAAGAAAAAGATTGTTGGATCTTCTTCCCCATAATTAGGCTTATAAAATTGTGGCGTCAGTGCCATGGCTCAGTGGCTTAATCCTTGCCTTGCTTTGTGCTGGGATCTCACACGGGTGCCAATTCATGTTCCGGCAGCTCCACTCCCCATCCAACTCCCTGCTCGTGGCGTAGGAAAGCAGGGGGATGGCCCAAAGCTTTGGGACCCTGCACCCGCGTGGGAGACCCAGAGGAGGGTCCTGGCTCTTGGCTCAGCCCAGCTCCGACTGTTGCAGCCACTTGGAGAGGGAATCAGCAGACAGAAGCTCTTTCTGTCTCTCCTTCTCTCTGTCATTCTGCACTTCCAATAAAATAAAATCTTTTAAAATAAATGTTTTCTGGGCCCGGCGCAGTGGCGCAGTGGTTAAGGTCCTCGCCTTGCACGCCCGGGATCCCATATGGGCGCCGGTTCTATTCCGGCAGCCCTGCTTCCCTTCCAGCTCCCTGCCTGTGGCCCGGTAAGGCAGTCGAGGACGGCCCAAAGCTTTGGGACCCTGCACCCGCGTGGGAGACCCAGAAGAGGCTCCTGGCTTCGGATCGGCATAGCATCGGCCGTTGCGCTCACCTGGGGAGTGAATCATCGGACGGAAGATCTTCCTCTCTGTCTCTCCTCTCTGTATATCCGCCTTTCCAATAAAAAAAAATAATAAAAATAAAATCTTTAAAATAAATGTTTTCTATGTATGCTTACAAAAAGTCACACACTGTTGACAAATCCTACCTGGGAAGTTCCCACTGCCCTCAGCCTCCGTGGCTTCTGCTCCCAAATCATTAAACCTTTGACTCCACATCCCAACTTGTTAAAACATCGCAGAATGAGTAAGAAAGAAATAAAAATGCTCAGTTAGTTGGATTCCAGTTCACTGAGACTTTACTGTAGGAAGCCACGCTGGAGAGCCTTCCAGCCTTGGGAACATGCAGTCTGCAATCTGGATACCTTTTATTTAATTTCAAGAATTCCCTTTGCACGGCAAAAAAAAAGGGGGGGGGGAGAGGCTGAGGAAAGCGGAGCAGCGCAGGTGGGGGAAGGGCAGGAAAGCGGAGCACTCGTGGAAGCGGGGTGGTGCCAAGTGCGGGCTGCCCACCGTGCTCCCTGGCTGCGAGAGAAGCAGGGTTTGTGGGAAGAGCAGAAAGCTGTTTTTGACACAAACAAGGGTCCTGGGGCATGCCACCCCACCCTGGTGCCTGGCCATGCAAGACGCTGAAATGGGGTCCGTGGCCCCTGTGGCGTGGCGTCCAGGGCCACGGAGCGGTGCACCAACGTAAAAGGGAGTCCTTTGGGCGCTTCCCTGGGCGCCTGCAGGGTCTGCGTCCATGTCCGTGATCACGGTCAGTTAAGGGATAGCACCAATTGGGAGGCCCAGAGCAGGAGGGCTACTGAGGCTCAGGCTCTAGCACCCACTTGCCAGGCCCTCCTGGAAGAGGCTCACTTCCTGGACAGCCTCTCTGGAGGCCAAAGCCTCTCCCTGATTCCCTCTGCCCTGGGGAAACTGGGAGCAGCCACCCATGAGGTCTGACCCAGGGCGCCAGCAGCCTCTTGGAGGGCTCGGCCACCAGTGTGCAGTGAGAAGATGCTGCTGCACCAGATTGAGGGACGGGAGGTGGACAGGACTGGCTGAGGCTGCAGGGGTGCCACCCTGGAGCTGCCTGCCAAGGGCTTTCCAGGAGCACGACCCCAGGGCATTTGGTAGCCAGTGTGTTCCCTAGTGCTGGTAACCCTGTGTGTAGTCCCCGCCCCTCCTCACTGTGGCTTCTGATTCGGAGGAGGGGTCGGGAAAGGGGGAGCACAGAGACCCACCCGGAGGAGCAGTCCCTTGGACACAGAGGTAGGCAGTGCTTGCGGTGGGGACACTGCGCAGGCCAGCAGCCCTGGAGCGGCTCCCGCCTGGCCACCGCCACTGTGTGATTGTGGGGAAATCGTCTCACTTATGTCTCACTTTCCTCGGTTATGAGATCAGGAAAATCCTACCCCACCTATCTCGGGGGGATAGGCTAAGGGCAAAAATAGATAACGGATAGAAAACACTTTTTAAAAAGTATAAAGCGCTACTCCAACGCGAGGCAGTGTTGTCACCATTAAGCTGGTACCCTTAGCACATCCCTTCGCTCACAGCTCCTTCGCTCAGGGTGCCTCCTAGGCCTAAGGGCTTACTTCCTCAGGCTCTGGGCCATTTCCCTGCCCACAACGGGCAGCCCCAGCGGCCACGGAGCATACTGGGTGGCACGAGGAGGGTGCACGAGGACCACCGCCCCTGTATTCTTCTGGCACCTTCCCCGGGCAGCTTGGTCCACCCTCTGAGATGAGCTGGGCTGTCCACTCAGGCTGGACAGATCGGGGGGTGACCCCATCCAATCCTTTGGGGACCCTGTCTGGAGTGTAATTTCTGTGTCCAATTTCGGGCAGGTGGAGGGTAGAGGGCAGGAAGGTGCACCAGGAGCCACGGGGCAGGTTGGTGGGTCCCCAGGATACCCAAGGGCCGGTCATGCCCTGGCTCCAGTCCGCCCCTCTCCCCCCAGCCCAGCCCTAGTCTCGCTCGGGAGGCGCCTGCTGAGGCCGAGGGGCCCCGAGGCCTGGGCCGCCGCTGTGCACACGCAGGTGGTCCTTGAGCGACTCTTTGTAGCGGAAGCTCTTGCCGCACTCGCCGCAAGTGTAGGGCCGCTCGCCAGTGTGGATGCGCTGGTGCTTCAGCAGGTTCTGCTTGCGGATGAAGCTCTTGCCGCACAGCGCGCACTGGAAGGGCCGCTCGCCCGTGTGCAGCCGCTGGTGGTTCTGCAGGTGCTCCTTGCGGCTGTAGGTCTTCTCGCACTCGGAGCACTTGTAGGGCCGCTCGCCGCGGTGCGTCATTTGGTGGCGGATGAGGCCCGAATGGCAGTTGAAGCTCTTCTCGCATTCCGCGCACTCGTAGGGCCGCTCCTTGGTATGGCTGCGGTGGTGGATGATGAGGCTCTTCCGCACACCAAAGCTCTTGCCGCACTCCGGGCACGAGTAGGGCTTGCTGCGTGCACCATGCAGCAGGAGGCTTCGTCGCAGCCCGCCAGGGCAACAGCTGCCACAGCCACCACCCGCACCTGTGCCTGCGCCGCTGCTGCCGCCGCCGCCACCAACACCACCAGTGCCACCACCGCCACCGCCACCCACGCCACTCTCCCCACCAGGCTGTGCCTCGTTGGCACCTCGCTCTCCAGGGAGCCCAGGGAAGTCTTCGTCCAACAGTCCGCGGTTCGGAGGGCCCCCGGGGTTCTCGGCCACAGGGAGTGGGGGCAGGCTCTGCTGATGGGGCTGCGGCTGGGTCTGTGGCTGGGCCTGGGCCTGGGCCTGGGGCTGCGGCTGTGGCTGCTGCGGGGCCTGGGGCGGGTTCTTCACCAGCAGTAGGCTGTCAGCTGGAGGGAAGATGCAGAGACAAGGTGACCGTGTGGGCAGTGTGCTCACACCTGGGACCCCACACATTCCTGGGTTGGGCGCCAAGGTCGCTTGCTGGTTGGGCCCCCAATTCTAACTAAGGAGACTGAACAAGACGATCTCGGACTTGCCAGAGTCTGGCAGGGGAGCACTAAAAGCAGGGGACAGCACAAGAGGGACAGGTCACTCTTCCGGAATGCTGAAGCCAAGGGGCGGGGGCTCCGGTTATCAGGAAGTTACCCTGGAAGTCATGGTTTCCCAGACATAAACAGGTTGAATTGTAGCCTGGCGGACAGTGTTAGTTTACCGTGGGGAAAAATCTCTCATCTGATAGAAAATGTGTCCCCAGGCCTGAAGCAGTAGGCCGTGGCAGGGCGTTGGCCATGCGGTCCCGAGGGCATCTCTACATGCTGCTGTTGCCCCCCCGGAAACGCTGCTGCTGCCTTCAACACTCTGCCGTTCCCCCACCAGCCGGCCGACCCTGCGTGGGAGTGCGCCGGGGCCAAGGCCCAGGCTCAGCTGCTGTGTGCTTCCGCCTTCACCTCTTGACAACCTTCCCTGACCTCATGTTCCCTCCTCCTGCCCCCTCAGCTCAGGGCCGGCTGTCCCGGGAAGCCGCTCCTCCGGCTTCCCTTGCGTCTGCTCAACCCTTCATCCTCCCCCCTGACCAAGGTCTGTTCTTAATCAACAGCTTCAACGGACTGGGCGCCCCTTCCTTTCCCTTTCCCCATCAAAACCAACCAGGTGGAGAACCAGCTTGACAGAACACAGGCCAACACGATCCTCTCATGTCAGGGGTCAGCTCTAGAGCCTCTGTCGGGTTGGCTGAAGCCCCTGGGGCAGCTACCCTGTGGGTCTCCCTCTGTGCAGGGTTGCTGCTCTCACTCCTGGCTTGTTGCTATTCCCATGAGGACTGGGCACCAAGAGACCACAGGCGCATCCACATCCTGGCATACTTCCCAGGAAGCCCATCCCGAGGAGGTCCTCCTCTGGCAACTCTTCCAACGCCTCGTGAGCATCTGTCCACTTCCCTGCCAGGCGGCCAGGTGGCCAGGCCGCCAGTCTCCTGCTCCAGCCTCTGTCCTTGCTGCCTGATGCAGCTTGGCTCCCCCAGCACTGGTTGGTGAGTGCCCTCACCCCTTCTGCTTCTCTCTGCTGGGCTGCACCTGCCCTAAGGACTCCCTGGCCTGCAGCTGCATGGCGGCAACTGGACACGGACGCAGAGAATGGCACAGTCTCAGAAGGACCTCTACACACAACCGAGTGCCCTGGTCCCCTTCTCGAATTTTCCACTCTTGAATTCTAACAGGCACAAAGCCAATATCTGTTAGCTAAATAGAGACTAAATCACACTCCGCAGGTGTTGCCATCCAGGTAGGGTGACCTGGCGCCAGGCTCCTGACCCCACCACTCACTCTGGAAGCAAGGGGTAACCACTGGACTGCAAAGCCTTATCTATGCTTCTTGCTTCCACAGACCGTCATGTGAGCTGGGTTTTTCCTCACTTTACACTACCCATCTGAGGGCGGCAGGAATTCAGACATTAATATCTACATCCAGGAATCTCTTACTAAAATGCAGTGTCCACTTGGTCTGCCTATCCCAGGGGTGAGGGAGGAGGCTGGCAAGCGCGGGTATCATATATTTCTGAATGTTATCCTCTATGTCACTGCCCTCTTGCCTCCAACCACTCTCTTGAAAGTTCTTCTAAATGATCCCATGTCTTACCAAAAGTCTGTCCATTTGTCCCCAGCAACCAGAACACTAGGTTAGTTTTAAATCAGAGAAGTATATGAGATACTGATCTCCAATTCTATCAGTAAATGGGAGGTGGGCTCACCCTGGGAGGAAGACAGAGGCCCCGGTTAGAAGCTGCCATGGCTGGGCAAGTGGAAAAGATACTTCCATCTAATCCTGTCTCCCCAATTCCAGGCAACTCACGCTACTAGTTCCTACATCCACACTGCAGTAGCAGAATGGTTTGGTTCTGTGCAAAGGCTAGCAAATCCCCCAGAGGCCTTCCCAGATCTACTTCCACGATGACACAGGTCCCAGCAAGAGGTTTCTTCAGGCCTGGGCACTCCCAATTGGCTGGGAAAACTTACCAGGTAGGGCCTCACATGGTAGCCTAGTGGCTAAAGTCCTTGCATGGCATACACCGGGATCCCATATGGGCACCATTTCTAATCCTGGCTGCTCCACTTCCCATCTACCTCCCTGCTTGTGGCCTGGGAAAGCAGTCAAAGTAGCCCAAAGCCTTGGGATCCTGCACCTGCATGGGAGACCTGGAGGAAGTTTCTGCCTCCTGGCTTGGGAAAGGTGCAGTTCCAGCCATTGTGACCACGTGGGGAGTGAACCAGCAGACAGAAGATCTTTCTCTGTTTATCTCCTCTTCTCTGTATATCTGCCTTTCCAATACAAATAAATAAATCTTTAAAGAATTACCAGGTAACACTGAGAGACAAGGACTGGGGGAGAATTTCCTGGCACAGTGGCCTCTGCCTTCAAGCCTGTAGCTAAAACTGGAGGCGTGGGGGCTGCAGTCGTTACCTTCAGGGCCCAGTCTCCTGCCAGGCCTACAGGTTCCCAAGAGGACTCTTTGCCAGCATATATAAAGCAAGCACATATGTTGGTCTTCTCCTGTCCCGGTCTGGCAGAGCTGACCTGGGAGAGTGTGACCTTTTCGGCTGCTTTGGGAACAGCCCTGCAGACTTAGGCACAAGCATGTCTTTGGCTCTGAGGCGGATATTACATTTCTCCAAGACATCAGAAGCATGGGCATGGAAGGGTTAGCCCTGTAGTAAATACTCTGATTGAGCAGAGACACCAGGCCAAATGTCTGGAAGGCCAGGTGATGGGACAGGGTCTGATGCTGAGAGTGTTAAATAATCCACAAACCTATGCCTAGGTCATTATGTGGCTCTTGAAAACACCCAAGACACTCAGGTTTGGTAAGACACTCAGTTTCATTTGGGGGGAGAAAAAAAATCCCTCTCCCTCAGACAGTCTTTGCGCATTTCTCCATTACGCCAGGGTTTCAGCTCGGGGCCCGGGCCCTGTGGCTGCTGTTCTGCAAGCTGTGAGCTGCCTGCCACTTTCAGCTGTGCCTTGGACAACCTGGATCAGCACCTTTACAGAGTCTGCTGGTAACAGGCTGAACCATGCTCCCCGTGTTGCCTAACGTGGCCCGATTTGAAGCTAGAGTCACTGCAGAGGCAGTCAGTTAAGATGAGGCCTCTGACCAAGACATCTGGTATTGTTACAAGAAGGGAGCCAGCCACATTCGGGACCATGGGACGACATCAAATGGCTGCTGGAAGTGGCCCTCTCCCTTACCCCCGGTTACAGGAAGACAAAATGAATAAATAAATAAATAATGGTCTCATTCACTTTCCACTATTCCTTGAACCTCCTCTCCCTAATCAGTGGTCCATATGAGTATATATCTTTTTCAACTATGTAAATATCATCAAAAAATAAATATATTAAAAAAAAAAACAAGAAGGGAAACAGACATACTGGCAAACAGACCACCATATAAAAATGAGAACCAGAGAGACGCATCTAAAGCCAAGGAAATGCCATGGATGGCAAGTCAGGGGAGGGCAGGGAGGGGACACACAGGTCACAGAGCAGGGAGCCTACCACCTCCTTGACTTACAACTTTTCACTAGCAGAAGCCCAAAGCAACACATTATAGTTGTGTAAGCCACCCAACCCAGTCTGTGAGGCGAGCTTCTGACAACCCTAGGGATAACTTCTAAAGCAGAGGGACAGTGCTTTGCAGCAGAGCATCAAAGGGTGCCCCTGGGAGAGCACCAATGCAGAAAGAGAGCTGCCTGAGGGCTTCAAAAGATGCCCTAGGAGAGCCCCATGAAGCAGAGGGCTGCCTGAGGGCACTGCTACAGAGAGCTGCACTGCGGAGAAGACACCTGCCTGAAGCCAGCCACCAGCCCCGGTGTCGGGACTCCATTATCCGACTCGGGAGGAGACTCCCAAGGGTTCTGGCAGGTGTGTTACTCACTGGGGCCAGAGTCCAATCCAAGCTCGCCTTCCACGGAGTCGCGGGGGCCCCAAGGGTACGGCTGCTCTTCCTGCTTGATCCAGGATAAAATGTCATGTGCTGAGATGAGAGACTCTGGCGTGATGGAAAGAAGTCAGTATGAGACCTTGTTCAAAGATTTGAAGACCACGGCATGCAAAGGTTCCACACGCTTCAGTGCTGGCTTTGGTCCCTCTGTTGCATTTACGGGTGTCCTCCCACCCTTAGCAGGCCCTTCCTAATGAGCAGCTTGGTGTGTCCCATGTAGGCCAGAGACGAGAAGGTTCTACCCCACGTCTGGACTGTAGCAGCAGTTAGATTGAAGCAGGCCTTCTGACTCTATCAGCTGAGCCCACGTGCGACCCAGGACAGCTTAGCGCTGCTGACCCAAAAGTTCAGCCATGGCAGCAGCCATCACGGAGAACTCCTGACAGTGCACTCCCATGATGCCTCTGTGTAAAAGTCACAAGCTACAGGCTTAGACTCACACCACTTCTCATCTTCTCTTCCTGGCAGGGAACGTTGGCACCCCAGCTGCCAGGGAGAAGGATGCTGGATTCGCCCAGCTTTGCAAACCCCACAGCCCTACGTGGCCCCAGCAAGTGGAACTCCTACCCTCCCCAATCTTACATGTTTCCCTGAAAGCCTGGAACCTTGCCTAAGAACTTATTGAGAGACAAAGAACTAGTTTTCACTCAAGAGAAACCCCAGAAAACATAGCTTCCTTTCTGACCCAAAAGACACAGCTTTTAGAAGCTTTTCCATTGTTTTGACTGTTATAAAAAGCAGCACAGAGATAATTTTAATATCAATGAAAAGAGACAGTAAGATAGCAATCTAATAGTTCCACTTTGGAAACTGCAGGTAGCCCTCTGCGCTCCTTCCATTGTCTTGCTCACCTGAATTGGGGTCTGTAGGGATGTCTCTCTCGGCCAAATCTTGCTGATCCCATACGCACTGGTGCTCCTCTTGCTTAATCCGGGATAAGAGTTCCTGGGCAGATATCGGGGAGTCTACTCGTGGGAACCAAAGCAGGAAAGATGTGAGATGGAGTGAAACTGCCCACAAGTTTGCATTTTTGATTGACATAATTATCTTTCTCCTAAAAATCAGGCATAGGTCTAATAAATCTCATTAGCCAAAGGTGAAGTTGGTTTGTCTCCAATTAGCAGATCATTTGCTGCCGATACGTGGATGCTCCTGGGGACACCATGGTGACATGAGAGTGGCTTTAAGACAGTTTCCGTGCCTCTAGGGACCTCCATCTCCCACAGCGAGCTTCTCCTTCTCTTGCTGAGACCAACATGGGATACAAGATTCCTTAGGAGCGGGGCTTTCTGGGGAAACAAGCCCTGCCAGGAAGCCTTTTATCTTGGTTATTTAAACAAGAATTTGGTAACATGCAAAAAAGATCCAGTATTTTCCTTTTTCTACAGTGAACTTAATTTACTCTTACTGCCTTACTTCTTAAAGACCTCTCTGCCAAGACTGTATTGCTGGGCTGTTTGCAAGGAACACGCCCGAGGATAGACAAGTGAAAGTGCCTCTATCCAGACACTTACCTTTGGATTTGAGGCTTTGACTATGAGGGGTGAGGCATGAGGTGTACAGGGCTCTAACCTATGAATGGAAGCTGTGGTATGCTAATGTACTTTGGGCTGGTTAATTTTATGTGTCAACTTGGTTGTCCAGCACCCTGATATGTGGTCAAATATTATGCTAGGTGATTCTATGAAGGCTATGCTTTAAAACTGAGATGAACACTTAAACCAACAACAGACTTTGAATAACACGGACCACTCTCCAGGATGCAGAAGGCCTCCCCACGGGAAGAGGGGGCTCTGCCAGCACACGGTGTTAGATCTCAGATCTGCTGCCTGCAAGCCTGCAGGACTGCAAGAGCCAGTTCTTTCAACTTCCCGGCACATGCCTGTGTACACGCACACTTGCAAGGCTCTGTTTCTCTGGAGAGCTTGTCCAGGGACTCCCCCAGAGCTCTCCCCTACAATTGCACAGCTGGGAATACCATTCAAGAGGAGCTCCCCACAGGCCTGCAGGCACCAGGGCGTCTGGCACAGAGACAGCAGCTCGTATGCCCTTATTCCCAACAGCAACAGCGACAGCCCTGGCCGGCCAGGTAGCGGATGCCTTCTATCCACATTCCCCCACCTGTACAGTCCTGTGAAGCATTTTCCCAGGAAGCACTTAGTGCTGCCATGATGCTGGCTTTAACGGGGGAGGGAGCGGGAGTTAAAACAAGATCAATAAAGAGAGGAAAGAGAACAAGCTCAGCCCAGCCATATTGGCAGATTGTCAATGCCATGTGTCATGTTCGCACCCTGGAGACACCCTGTCTCAGCTTAGTCCTGGACTAGCTCTCATCTCTAGCTCAGTTTCTAGCCTGGCACACACATCAGCTACCCCTGGGGCCTGGCAGGCCCTGCTTCTCCCCCCTGGGTGGGACACTCACTCACCGGTGATGGATTCCGTGGGGATGGCTCTCTCCTCCAGGCCCCGCTGGCCCCGGACACACATGGCTTCCTCTCGCTTCACCTGGGAGGACACATCCTGTGCAGGCACCAGGGGCTCTGCTCCTAGGGACAGAGAGTGACATCACGTGATGTCTTCTTCCTGCAGGGTGCTCACCTGTATCCAGAGGCAGCCTGGCTGACAGCACTTGCCAGGGGAGAGGACTGGCTGGCATCTTGGGCTCATGTTGAAGCCTTGGGGGACCCTGAGGAGCAGAAAGACCCAAGGACAGAGAAGTGGCCGACACTCAAGAAAAAGGGGAAAACAAACAGCAAAATGAGGTGTGGTGAGGCTGGAGGGAGATACTGAGGACAAAACTCCAAAACTCCATGCTGTGAAAATGGAGGGGGGCCACTCCAGGAGGAGCTCCGAGGGTAACCTCTAGGTAAGGGGCAACTTGTCCTGCTTTTTCATTCCACTCAGAAGTCAGCCTGGCTGTGGCTAGACACACACACAACACACACTGTTAGTAAGAAGTTAAGCTGAGCCAAAAGCTACAAGACCCCTCTTGAGAGGAGTCACACATCACATCCGTACACCTGAAAGATACTGACACATCTTCACATGGAACCATTTTCCTCTGCTGCTGTTACAGGGTGGGGTGTGTTAGTTCCTGGCAGGAGACCACTCAGGCAACAGAGAAGAGATTAGATGAGGACTTTGAAGACGGGCTCCCGCCTTCCACACTGCCACCACACAGCCACACTGTGAATCAGTCATCTAACCTCTCTGGGTTTTGGACTTTCCATTTAATCTGTAAAATGGCCATACTAATCCTGTTGTGTCGCTCATGCAGTGATGGATGGATGAATTCAGTCAATTGTTGAGGTTATAGTGTTTTAGATGTCAAAAGCTAACACATAATACCAGCTACTCTTACCTCAGTAGCAGATTGCAAAGATGTAGGAGTGCTAGATGACAAAGGGGAACAAGCCATTGGAGATTCAGGACAGCCCAATGCATAGAAACGACATCCCTGGCTGCCAAGGATGGCGTAAGGGGAGCTAAGGGGCACAGAGCTTCTTGCAATGCAAGTGTTCTGGAAACAGGAAATGAAGCTGGTTGCATGCCTCTGTGAGCCACTGAACTGTATGTTTTAAAAGAGCAAACTAGATCCCAACGAAAACATAAGACTGGGAAGGGCAGGGTAAGAACGTTTTCTTGTAAATTCCCCTGTAAGGGAAGTTTCCATGAAAATGTTTTCCACGTGAGGTAGGGACTTTCAAAAGGGAAAGTTACAGATTCTCTAGCAAGGGAAAATTTAAGTACTCTCCCAGAGCAAAGAAAGGACATGGCAGCCTAACCACAAACTATGTCTGCAGATGCAACCTCACAAGCTACCTTACAGCGGAACTCAAAGAGGTACCCACATGGGGTGCCGACACTGCAGACTGAGGACTAGCCTGATAAACCATCCAAACAGCTCCTATATCTGTCATTCAAATAAGTAAATAAATCTGCTTTGTTTAATAGAAAGAGGGTGACAGGTCTTTTTTTTCCCCCCTCTCCTAAAGAGATTATTCATTTGGAAATCAGAGTTAGTGTTACAGCAAGAGCGAGAGAGAGAGAGAGGGAGAAAGGAAGGCACAGATATATCTTTCATCTATTGGTTCACTCCCCAAATGGTTGCAAAAGTCAGGTCTGGGCTAGGCTGCAGCCAGGAGCCAGAAGCTTCACCTGGGCCTGCCATGTAGGTGCAGGGCCTAAGTACTTGAGCCATCCTCCCCTGCTTTCTCAGGTGCATTAGCAGGGAGCTGGATCAGAAGTGGAGCAGCCAGAACTTGACCCAGCGGCTGCATGGGATGGCAGCATAGCAGGCTCCAGAATTACCCACTATGTCATATGGTGGCCTTATAAATCTAAAAATAGGAAAATGTTCTCTATTTCTAAGCACAGGAGGAGAGAGGGCCCAAACAGGTGGAAGGTCATACAATTAAGTAGAAAACAGTTAGAGCGCCAGTCTTCATTTGGTCTAACACTATCAGTGAGGGCTGAGGCCCCAAGCTGACTTTGAGACAGAGCTGGGACTAGAACCCCTATACCTTCTATCTCGGGGAAAGTGTGAGAACATTACACTTGGTCACTCTGAGTGAGGAAAGAGACTGCAGGGCGTGTCTGCATGTATGGTGTGTTTGTGTAAGAATTAGAATTGTGTCTAATCCTCTGCCTATGGTACCACGTATCCGTTGGTGACCCAATGGCTCCACTTCTGATTCAGCTCCCTGCTTATGACCTGGGAAAGCAGCAGAGAATGGCTCAAGTCCTTGGGCCCCTGTACCTGCATGGGAGACCCAAAAGAAGCTCCTGACTCCTTGTCTTTGGATTGGCTCAGTTCTGGCTGTTGCAACCACTTGGGCTGATCTTGGGGTCTTCAAGAGGCTGTCATGAGCCCAAGCCCTTCCTCACTCATCTCTACACCCAACTCATCCATAAGTGGAGAGCCACACAGATTTGATAAACTGAAAGGCAAACAGGCATGGCAGGGTTTCTGGCCCTTTAAGTGACCACCAAACGTGAGTGACGACAGGACTGCTTGGCAGAAGCAGCTCAAGAGATGTTCCTTCCCGAAATAAGCAATGGTGTCTGCCAGCACTCCACGTGGGTGGCCAACACTTGTCACTCGCCCTCCCCCGGGTCTCCTGGTGCCATCCTCAGCTGCCATCACCTGTGTTTGGATCCACTGGGACTTCTCTCTCCTCAGGGTGACGTTGTTCCCACACACAAGGTTCTTCCCGGGGCTCTACCTGGGCCGGGGCATCGGGCTTGGGCACCGAATTCTCAGAATCTGGAAGAGAATTGGGAAGGAAGAGATGGCTGAGTGAAGTTGACCAACAAATCCAGTTCAAGGGTGAGGGAGATCTCTCTGCCATCACAACTCCCCATCTTCCCCTACGAGCAGCAGTTACACAACTAAGAAAGGTAGGTCATCTTGTATCAGGAACTTCATGAGAAAGTCACCTGAACTCCAGACTTCTAGTGCAGAGAAATGGTCCATGGAGCCAATATCACACAGGCTGCAGCTTTGCCCAGATTGTTGGGACGTAGCTGACAGGGAGGCACAGAGGGCTTTCTTCTTGCTGTTGTCCAGAGTAGCAGCTGTGTAGTGACCATGGTCAGGGACCCTGCTCATGGGGCTATCATTTTTATCCCATTGTAAGTTGCTCTACCTTACTAGCATTATAAACAACTAATTTCTTGAGTACCCACTGGGTATATAAATATGAAACAATTCTTGCCCAGGGGTTTTAACACAGGCTAATCCAGACAGTGTTTGCCAAAGGGCAGAGTAGGCATCCTTACCGAGGGACATCAGGGTTTTGTAGTTTTCCTTCACGAGGTTGTTGTAAAGCTCCTTCTGCCATTCATCCAAGTTCTTCCACTCATCCTCAGAGAAATAAACAGCAATATCCACAAAGGTCACAGGAACCTGGGGTAAGCAGAGTGTTAGTCTAGTGCTTCCTGCTTGCCGCTTGCTGCTCCCTGCACCTGCAGGCCAAGGGAGCCATCCTTCCCCCAGAGGCTGGTCTTTGCACTCAGGGATCCTTGATCCCCAACCTCCAAATTCCAGTCCACATCAGATTATTCAATGGGGTCAGTCCTCTCTGTCCCTGAAATCATGCTTCCATAACAGTGATGGTCAATGCCATTTGTTTTTTTTTTAAAAGTCTTTAACCACAACTAGAACTACTGGTGCAGTGAGCTTCCTGTGGGGCATTTCAGGTGACAAACATGTGGTAAGTTCCCAGAGTACCAGCAAGCCGAGTACAGTAAAGCCCCATGGAAAACCTGCATTTCAAGTCAGACCACCTCTGTGCACATGGTGACATTCTTCTCACTAAAACAGGTATAATCTAATCCCAGGTATAAAGCTAATGCTCCAGGATCTTCCGTTTGGAGCAGAAAGCTGCACTGTAGGGGCCAACATCATGTTTCGGTAAATTATGCCTCTACTTGTGATGCCAGCATTTTATATGGGTGCCAGTTTGATCCAGCTTCCTGCTAATGACCTGGTAAAGCACCAGCGAATGGCCCAAAGCCTTGGGCTCCATGTAGGAGATCTGGAAGAGACTCTTGGTCTCTGGCTTCTGATTGGCTCAGCTCTGGCCATTGCAGCCATTTAGGGAGTGAACCAGCAGATGGAAGATCTCTGTCTCCTGTACCTCCGTAACTTTGCCTTTCAAATAAAAATGAATTAATCTTTGAAAAAAAGAAAGCTGTACTGCAGCATGAATCAACACTCCATGCAAGTCACTTGCAGTCAAGGTGCTCTAAGCATGACACAAACCCACATGTCCTCACCGGCAGGACCTAACCAAGGACCAGGTTGCTCACAGCGGTTTCACTTGCATAACTGAACTTCCTTCCCTGACCATGCAGGCTTCCCCTTCACCACCTTCAATGCCTCCTGAGCACTCCTTTCTGAGGGATTTCACTGTCACTCAGAAATCCCACCCCTCGATGATCCCTGACTCCTCATCTATTAGTCTTTGAATACGTGTGTACATGGTCAAAGCTGGCCTGTCCAGCACCTTGGGACCAATTAGAAAAAGACAGCACAGTCGGTGGGCACACAGCTGCTGAGCCCAAGCGTGATGAGTGGGCAGCCCCTGTACAAGAGTCAGCCTCCTGGCCAGTTGCACCTAATCCCTCAGGGCACCCTGCAGAGGTGCAATGTGCACACCTGGATGGGGTCATCCTGTTCTTACCCACAGAAACCAGCTGCCTTTAGAATCAGAACTACAACTCTGAACTCCTTGGGCCTTCTGTCAGACTCTGGCAAATCCCCAACTTGGAAAAATTCACACAGCTTTCATGCTTCATTTTAATTCTCCATTGTTACATGAAATTCCCAGGATCCTATGGACAGCACCCACCATAAGTTCACGCCCCTATTCTCCAGGCTGCTTTGGAAGCATTCCGTTGATCTCTTGTTGAGTAGGCTTGTCATAAACTTTTTCTTTTTTTGGTAAGAGGATAGGGTTTACTTCAAAAATCCAGCAGCCTTAGGGAAAGAAGGTTCTCTCAATCCCAAATGAGCTCTTTACCCTCTTACAATCTTCAGTCTTCTGAACCCTCTCCTCCCTTCCTGTCTTTGCTCTCCGGTAGACTGGCAAGTTCATCCTTGCCTTTCCTCTTGCCACAGATACAAGCCCTTCCTTTCTGTTCCACACGACCTCTTTTCTTTTATGCCTGCAGTATCTCTCTCTTCACTATTTCCTTTGGGTCATCCCAACCTATGTAAAACCTTGACTCAATGGTGCTATTTTCAATGATCCAACTCTCCCTCTTCACGTCTGGTTTTGCTTCTTCACTTTCTGGGCATACTTGTGCCCCTTCGAACGCACATACTCTCCACGTGCTGAGATTGCATCCTGCGGGATTATCTCTAATCTTCTCTTGTCCCCCTTGCCCTTTTAGGACCTTTTGAAAGGAAGCACCTTTCTAGAATTTTCTCCTCCTTGGTTCCCACCTCTATGTCCCCCGTCAACCTGGCTCCTGCCTTCTGCACTGTTCCTCTTCCTTTCCCAAGGTTGAGGCTTCATTCTCCCCCTGCGTCCGTTTCTTCCTTTTCCCTGGACAATTTCATTCTTTTCAGTTCAACCATTCCCCTTTGAAGAAGAAACTTCAACTTGGTTTGCTCCTTTCAAAAGTCAACAGTCTTCTGAACAGCTCCACTTAATCAACTTTAAGTATCTCACACTCAATGTATCCAAAATTAAACTCCTTGTCATTCCCAACATACCAACGCCTCTTCTTCAATTCCCATTTCTGTGGTGGATTAAAAGTAGGGACTCTTCTCGTGGTTAGAAATAGATATCACTTTTTTCAAACTGTACTGTGATGGGATGTAACAGAAGTACTGAGACTGGTCTGAGACTGCACCAAGCTGCATTGAAAGGACTACCCATGCACTGGCCAAGAGTCAACGAACACAAAGGATCACAGAGTTAGCATCCTTTCTTCAACCTGGTACATAAAGAGAAGACATCTAGAATGCCCCAGAGTCTACAGTGAAATAGAACTATTGCTAGCAACACTGATAACCATTCGTATGACACTTGATGATTGTGGTAGCCTTAAAACACACCCACAAATTCTTTGTTCCTTCAAGAAGTAGAGCCTAGATTTTGTCTGTAACAGAAGTGACAGCACACAACTTCTGAAACTAGGTCAGAAAGGACCCGTGGCTTTCATTTAGTCTCTCTGTCATAGAAGAGAGAGCTGGCATGTCTTGAGGATGCTCAAGCACGCCACAGGAGAGGCCCCTCTGCTAGGGCAGTGAGGCCGCCCGCTAACAGGCAGGCAATCGCACATCTTGGAAGCAGACCCTCCAGTCCCAGTCAAGCCCTCAGATGACTCTAGTCCCAGTCAGCGGGATTATAAATTCATAAGACTGAGCCAGAACTGCCCAACTCAGCTTTTCTTGAAAATGTTAGAGGACAAATATTTCACTGCCCGATAGCATGTTAGGCTAATTTGTTACGTAGTAATAGGTAAGTATACAATGATCTACATACTGTTCTACCGGAAACAAAATCAATGAATCCCCACAACTCCATGAGTGAGTGTGCTATGATCTTCATTTTACAGAACAGTGAAACTCAGTGGACTTGCTGGGAATTCACCCACTTATTTATACCTTACTTCTTTCAAAAAAGCAATTGAGGAGGTTCAGAGACAGTGAAAAATATCAGTTTAGAAACATCGACATGTGGCAAAGATTCAGATCTCAGATCCTCTAATTCTGGGTCCCAAAACAGTCCCACCCTTCCACGAGGGCACACGATAACTCAAGACTCCTGATGTCAAGGCTGATACAGCAGCAGAGTGGGTTAACCTAAACCTCACAATGCCAGCATTCTATACTGAGCATCAGTTCAAGTTCCAGCTACTGTGCTTCTGATCCAGCTTCCTGCTAGCATGCCTGGGAAAGCAGCAAGAACGGCCCAGGGTCCCCGACATCCATGTGGAAGACAAGGATAAACTTCCTGGTTCCTAGCCTAACCTAGACCTGGCTGTTGTGGCCATTTGGGTAGTGAGCCAGCAGATGGAAACCTCTTTCTTTCTCTGTCACTCTGCCTTTGCAATAAATTAATAATTTCATTTTATTTAAAGGCCTCATTAAGGGAACAGGACCCATACAGTGCCATGTGAGGAAACAGCGCTGTGTGAAAACACACAGCACAGACAACAGAGAAGGGATGCTGACTGTGCTAGACAGGCAATATAGGCAAAGCCATATTCACAGGGAGTCTATGCACTGCAGTGGCCAGGGAAGGTTTTGAGCAGGAATCAAAACCATTCTTACAACTCAGATCTGTGAAGTTTCACAAAACCATGCTAAACATCTCTGGTAGAGTCACTGGGTTGGCCACCTCAGCAGACAGGGAGACAAGTACAATATCCCTTCCAGAGAGACACCAGCTGTGCAGCTCGGGAGAGTGGGCAATTATCTCTTACGTATCAACTCTACGCCAGGTACTGGTAGAGACACAGGGACACTGCAGCAAGCCAAGGAGAATTCACATTCTGGTCAGGGAAAGTCAAGCAAGAAGACAGAAAAGGAAGACTTAAGATGCCTGTGACATAAATGCTTTGGAGAAAACCCAAACAGGGAACAGGAAATGCAGGGGACTGGAGCAGGGGGAGTACTTGGTTCTCTGACCTAGAGGACTGTGCAAGGATACGGTAAAGTGTTAACCAAACAGCTCCCTCACAAAAGAGAAGGCCACTGTCCGAGGAAAGGGCTTCTTGGTGAGGAGTCAGAGGCAGGAGCCAACGAGAGCGAGTACCACAGAGAGGACACCAGCGAGGGGAATAGTCAATGCCTGGATCAGACGGGAGAACACTGGAGAGGGATGGGCAAAGGAATACGGAGACTGAGTTACATTTTAGAAGCACTGCTCTGGCTGTTCTGTTGAGAATAGATTCTACGAAACGGGGTGGACAGGATGGCAACAAGACCAGTGGAGAGGTCACAGCAAAAATCAGAGGAAAGACAAGGCTCACAAGAGATAATGGTGAAAGCTGGGGTGGTGAAGGGTGCTCAGAATGTAGGTTACTTATTTATTTCACAGGCAGAGAGACACAGAAAGATCTCCTATCCACTGGTTCACTCCCCAGATATCCACAATGGCTAGGGCTGGGAGAGGTCAAAATTCCTAGGCTTCGCCCTAAGTAATGGAAAGGAAGAACTGTCACCAATGGAGGTGGGGGTGGCACGGGGAATAATGTGTTTCAGGCAGAAGAGCTGGAGTTCACTTTGGTCATGTTAACTGTAACACAACTTGCTGATAGCCAAACAGACACGCTCAATTGGCAGGTGGGGGATTCAGGGAGAAAGTGAGGCTAACAGGAAAGTGGGGGGTAGTATGGAGAGAAACAGGACATGTTTGGGAGTTGACAGCAATCAGACTGCACTGAAAACAATGGGTTCAGAGCAGGTAAGTCTGCTCAGGGGTACAGATGTCTGAATCTCCCAGCCACATGGTCATAGCTCCCATTGATGAGCATGTGGTCCACTCCTGGGAAGGGGGCAGGCTGTGCAAGGTAGCTCCAACTGATGGCTAACGTGTGGCTTGGTTTTCAAAGGGGGCAGACAAGGCAGGATCGAACAAACCTTAGCTCACTGGCTAGTAGAAACCAGGCAAGAGCCCAGATCATGCTAGGCTAGGCTGTCAATACTTACCGGTCTGCATGAGCTAGGAATGGGAGCAGACTGAGCAGGGCCAGGTTTCAGCACCTGCCAGTGAGAGTTGGGACTAGGGGCAGGCGGGGTCAGGGCTATAGCATCCAAAAGCAAAGGCCAAGACAGGGGAGGGACTATGCTAAGATGGGTCAGAGCAACCACTGGCACTTGCAAGATCTATGGCTGGGAACATGCTTGGTTGGTGAGCAGAGGACACAACCCTGGGTTGTGGTTCCTATTGGTGAGTGTGAAGGCCAGAGTGGGGGCTGCAGTCTGGTTTGGACATGGCTGCTGTGTCCCTCGCACAAGTGTGGATTGGGTCTGGGGTATGCCAGACTGGGCTTGGCTCCAGTACCCACTGTGCGCATGACAAATAGGGTAGGTATAAGACAGGCTAGGCTAGGTCACTGCCTCTGTTGAACCATGTGTGAGCTATGTCTGGGTGTGGACCAGACTTGGCTGGGTTGTAACACCCAACAGTAAAAACCAGAAGGGGTGAAGGCCAGTCAGGAAAGCCCACCGTTCCTGCTAGGACAAAAGGTAGACTAAGTAAGGCTGGCCCATGGACCCATTGATGGATGCAGGATCTGGCACTGGGAAAGATTTGGATGGAGGAGCTTGGGGAATTCCTGTCGGGACACAGTCCCTGCAGGTGAGTACAAGAACCGTGATAGAGAGCAGCCCAGACCAGGCCAGGGAACGGTACCCACTGGCATACATTTGGGGCCTGCAGGTGAACCAGGCTGGGCCAGTTCATATCACCCGCTGGCAAATCTGAGCACCAGAATAGAGTGTAGGTTGGGCCAGGTTCAGTCACAACACATACCAGTACATATTATGGCTGGGATTGGGTGCCTCCTGGGCTGGGCCAGATTAATCCTCACCAGCCTGAGCTAGAATTGGGGATGGACCGGGCCAATCCAGGCTACAGCGCCCACTGCCAGACTAGGCCGCAGCACCCAACCAGTGCATGCGCTGTGGCTTCCCTTCTGGACCACCACTTCTACTGGAGACCATGAGTTGGGATGCAGACAGACCAGATTGGGAAGGGCTACAACACTTGTTGGCCTTGTGTGGGTTAACCAGGGAAAAGCCAGCCTGGGCTGACTATTCCTACTGGTGCATGCATAAGTCATATGTGGGTGTGGGTTGGATGGGCTCTGCCATAGCATCAGCTGGCAGATGCTGGCATGGGGGACAAATTCTATCAAGCCAAACTGCAGAACCACCTGGAAAGTGCAAGATCCGGGAGTGGGAGTGTCCTATTAGGGAAACAGTGGACACCTCCTTCTTGGGTTGCCGCTCAGACTAGTGAGCATGAGAATCAGCAGTGAAGCAGGCACAACTAGACAGAGAGTGGCACCTGCCAGCCTATTGGTGTGGGATAGATAGTGTGGCTGCTTGTGTTGAACGAGGCTTCAATGCCCAGTGACATGTATGAGAGCTGACTGGGATGTGGGACAGATAGGACCAGTCTGCTGTACATGGTGACAAGCACGGGAACTAGGGCGGGGGCTTACAGGGGTTATTGTGGGTCGCTTCGCATAGGTTGCAGCTCCCATTAGTGTATGTGAAGAAAGAATGTGTAGTGGGCAGGACTGGGCGGGGCTGCAACACCCATTGGTTTGTGGAGAAGATAGGGCTGGAGACAGAACTGACTCAGCAATTACAACCACCAGGATGTGCATAAGCTGATTGGAGTGATGGACTTTGCCGGAACCTGTATTGGCAAGCACACACAAGAATCAGATCTGGGACCATCTATGATGAAGTTTCTTTGGGGATCCCAACCAACTGAACTGCTGGACTCAGAACTCCAACCATGTAAAGAATTGTAGCTTCCACAGTCTGACCATGGAGTGCATGTGTCAGAGCTGGACCTCCTCAGTGGCTTAGACAGAGCAGTGGACAGCATACACAGAAGCACATGGAGGACGTGTGTGTGGGTCATTCCAGGTCAGGCTGCAGTACCACTGTGATGGCGGTAGCCCTTGACCCTAATCACCCTAATCAACTATGTAAAAATCCTAAAAAATGAAAATAATTAATAATAACAATAAAAGAAAACAAGGAGACTAGGACCACGCATTTGGCTTAGTGGGCATATATTGTTTGGGATGCGCACATCCCATACAGCAGGGTCTGAATTCAAGTCCTGGGTTTACTCCCAAGTCCTATTTCCTGCCAATGTGCATCCTGGGTGGCAGCATAGGATGGTTCAAGCAAGCCAGGTCCCTGCCACCCATGGGGGAGACCTCAGCTGTGTTCCGGCTTCCAGCTCGGGCCTGGCCCAGTCCTAGCTGTGATGGCATCTGGGGTGGGAATGAGCAGATGAGAGCTCTGTCCGGTTCTCGCTTTGAACTGCTCCCCTCCACCTCTCAAATAAACAAACCATCAAATTGAATGAAATCACAAGAGAGCAAAAAGCCGAGTCCGAGTACAGAGACTAAACACTTGCAAGCTGCAAAAAGGAGGCAAAACCTGCACAGAAAAGGAAACAACAGCGGATGAGGCAGGAAAACAATCAAGAGAGGTGCTCTTGAAGTCACGTGAAAAGTTCTCTCGAGGAGGGGCCTGGTCACCTGCACTGCACCTGGCTGCCGACGGGGCCAGAGGAGGAAGACTGATAATATTATGGACACCATGAGGGCCTGGGCAAAACCAATAGGGTGGACGAGAGCGAATAAAAGCCTAACCAGAGAGGGTTCCAGGGAAAACGAACCAGTTACGCACTTACTGGGACAGAGAACAGAGGAACATGTTAAACAAGCCCATGAAGGAGGTTTGACAGGATAAGATGGCTCAATTCCTTCCAAGATAAACTGCAAGGAAAAATAAGAGCTAGATAAAGAACTTAATGTTAAAAAAAAAAAAATGGACCCAGAGTTGTGGTATAAGAGGTTTAAGCTACCACCTGTGACAGCAGCATTACAGATGAGTGCCTGTTCCAGACCTGGTTGCTCTACTGACTGAGCTCCCTGCTGATGTCCTGTGAAAGCAGTAAGGGACAGTCCAAGCCCCGGGCTCTGCGCCCCAGTGGGAGACCCAGAAGAAGCTTCTGACTCCTGACTTTGGTCTGGCACACTCGGGGAGTAAACCAGCAGATTGAAGCTCTCTCTCTCTTCCTGCCTCATCTTCTCTCTGTATAATTACAATTTTCAAGCAAATAAAATAAATCTTAAAAAGACTTAACAGGCATACCAATCACAGTGTGTCAGCCTTATTTAAAATGTGATGCAAAGGAAAAAAAAAAGCTGGGAGGAGGAAGGTAGAAACGATTGAAAATAAACAAAATATGTCAAGATAATCGATGATAAATGGTCCCTTGTCAGTTGCATGTGAGAAAAACCAAATGAAGAGCCACAGAAACTTTCAATACAAACCTCAAGGAAGGCCTAGAAATTCCAAGAGTAAAGGCCCCCAGTTCAGGCTGCAGAGCAAGGGGAAGCCAGCCCTATTGGGGTAGAACATTCAAGATCAGGTCATGAAAACAGAAAGACACTGCAATTAGACAGCAGGGAGCCAGAAAAATCTGTCGGAAGGGCTGACAAATCAAATCCAAGGTTTTGTCCGCCAGCATAGTTCCTCCCCTCCAGCCCTGCTTCTGTAGACCACCTCATACCTTGGGGGCTTCCCCCTTGCTGCCTGGGGGCAGCCGCAGTACCCAGAAGTTCCTGTTGCGCAGCAGGTTCTCCAGGTTCTCCAGGCGCCGCTGCAGCAGCCCGTACTCCTGCAGCAGCGTGCCCAGCACGGCCCACTTGCTCTCCATGTGATTGCCAAACTCCACGGCCGTCTTCTCACAGTCGGCCAGCTTCTTCTCGGCTGTCCCCGTGCGTCCCTCAAGGTTCAGTAGTTGGCTGGCTTGGGCGTCCACCTTCCTCTCCACAGCCTGAATGGCGGCCACCACGGTCCAGAGTGAGATCTCTGCTGTGGGCAACTGGGGCTCTCGCATCATGCGGTCAGGGAAGACCGGGGCCCTATCTGGGAAGGGTGGGAACTGAAAGGGCATTGGTCGCCGGGCATCCATGTCCCATTCTTGAGCCTGTGTGTAAGAGGGAGAAAGTGGAAGCAGGTGGCTTAAGAACAGATCCAACCAATCCTACACTACAGATCGGTTTTCTTCTCCCAGAAACCCACACCTCAGACTAAGGGGCTCAGCTAGGGGAGCCATTCACCTGCTCAACCAATTCCGCTCCCATTGCGTGCCTCTGGGATGCAGGATGCTCACTCCTTCACTGTTTGCCCTGTGGCAAGTCAAGGCCATGAACCTTTGGCTAAAAAGTCTCAGGCTGCTTTCTCTGAATCACCCAGCTGCTTTCTTTACACGTTAGACTTGAAGACAGACTTCATGCTTGCCTCATGTGTTTTGTTTTGGGGTAAGAAGTTGCATGTAAGCTATCTGACGCTAATCTTCCCAGCAATCTCTCAGCAGGTTAGGGCAAGACTGATTATCTTTGCTTTGGAGATGATGAAATCCAGGCACGCAGAAGCAGCTGTCATTCCACAGTGCCTCGCTGTGCTACGGTGCTGCAGGTAAGAGAAACACCTGGCAGGCAGGTGCCACGGCCACCATGCTCACCATGGCTTCACACCTCCTGAGGCCATCACCAACGGAGAGACCATAGCTCAAGCTCTCTGATTAGACAAGAAACTTCTCTCCCCACCCTCCACCACACACAACCATTTTTAAAATAAATAATAATACTTTTCTAAAATGAAAACATGTTGACCTGTATTTCTCTCAACAGGTGAAGCGGGGGAGTAAGATTAAGAAAAAAAAAAAAAGATAAGCTCTTGGCCCCTTTCATGCTTTCTAAGGAGAGGGAGACACACCCCGGCCTGGGGCCTTCCAGCTTTATCTCCCAGAAGGTGAGGTTGGGAGCTGTGTCCTGTGTCCAAGACTTCAAGGAAACAGGAGGCACGGCAAGCAAGCTATCCAGGAACAGGTGCCATATCGTGTCAGCACCCCAGGGGCTTGCTGGGCTCACTATCCAACCCCTGGAATGGCAAATGCGGATTTGCTGTTCTTTCCGTTGCTGCTAAAGAAGCCCTCCAGATGAAGAAAGTGGGGCCCTGCTGCCTTGAGGTGAGCTGGGCAGGCCATGAGTGACAGCCCGGCGGGGAGGGCCATCCTGAGAACCACCTGCAGGTCGCGGGAGACAGAAGCAGGATCCAGAACACCAGCCGCCCTGTGCTGGATAAGAACTGGGGGCTATTTTCCCCTCACAGAGGGCCTGACCCACAGCAGACAAGGACAGCGTGAGCTGAGGGAGGCACCGATCGGGCTTAAGCTGAAAGAGGTCCCAAACAACCCAGCAACTCCTGCCTAACTTGTTGGAACCCGGCTGGGTCCAGCCCAGAGGTCAGCTCGGAGACCCATCTGGCAGTCTGTCCGGAGCGCTCACCTCGCTCATGTGCCCACGCTGAAACCCTGGTTCTCAAACCACCCGCACCCTGGCACGGCGGCTGGAGGCCCCACTTCCCCCGGCCCCGGAGCTAGCCGCTCTGGGACGCGGCGTGGGCGTCGGGATTCCTACGTCCAGTCAAGTTTGCCAACCGAACACGACAACGTCATCTCCCTAGGGCCCCTGCAGGGTCACCCCCAGCGCAGGGAGGATGGGGGAGGAAGCAAGGACTGCTCGTTGCACTTGGCAGGGCAGAGTGACACAGTCTCAACATCTCTCTGGCCGCTGCGTAAACATGGACGAGCCGATCGTCCCCGCGGCCGCCCAGGAGGGCTGCGGGTAAACCCTCTGCTTGACGGCGGCGCACAGGGCAGCCGCCGCCGGGCTTTAGAAGGGCAGAAGGATGACGGCTCTGCCGGGTTCCGGGAGGCCCCAAGCGCCAGGCCCGGGCCCAGCAGCACCCCCCCCACGGGCCTGCCGGGTGGCCCTGCCCGGGCCTGGCGCTCGGGGCCTGCATCGGGCCCGCTCCGCCCTGCGCGCCGCAGCCCCGGGGTCGGCGCGGGCCTGACGCGGGCGCCGGCGAGGCTCGGCGAGGCCAGCCCGGCCCGCGCCCCGCCCCCACGGCCGCGGCCATGGCGCCTGCGGGGGCTGCTGCACCCACCTGCATGGGCGGCATTCCCTCGGCCATTTCCCCGCGCAGCGCCGGCTCCTGGTGGCAGACCTCCTCCGGGGGCAGAGCCTGGGCCCAGCTCCAGCTCCCGCTGTCCAGCCCCAAGCCCTGGATGCCCAGCTGCTGAGGCTGCGGCCGTGTTGACACAAACTGCATCCTGGGAGTGCTGCTCCCCGCTCGGGCCGGCCAGGGAGAAGAAGAACGTTTTCCAGGCGCCTTCCCCCTCGCCGGGGCCGGACAGCTCCATCTACAGCCCGTAGGAGCAAACAGTCCCCTTCGGCGGCGCTCCCCGCCCTCCGCCGCCCGTGCGCCAGCCAATGGCCTCGGAGCTGCTGCCTGCCTGAGGGGCCGGTCGGGGCCACTCCTGGCTGGGGTCGCAGCGGCCCCGGAACCGAGCTGCCTGCAGCTCCTGGACCCCCAATGGGCTTTGAAGTCCCCTACCGTGCACGAGCCTGGACGGTTTGCTTTATGTTCATTGTGCAGACAAATTGGGCATCCGGGGAGAAAATGGTGCCTGACCCCTGTTGAAAATTTTGAGAGAGAAACTGCTGACTGCAGACACTTTGCTTCTGGTCTTTCCCCCTCAGCCCTCTGCCCGATCCTCCCTAGGCCAGGCCCAGGGTCTGGATCATAAAACCTCAGTGCTCATACGTCAGGGCAGAACTGCTCTCCTAGGTGGTCAACCTACATCTCAACAATGGCCACTTATAACAAACACACGAAAAACCTTTAAATACAGGCCAGCTTCCCCTTGAAATGGAGGAGGACCAGGGAGAAGTCGGGGTGCTCTGGCAGAAGAGATAGTGTGAGCACGAGATGAATTCATTCTGTACACATTTACTCAAAACAGCGCCAGGGGCTGTTTAGGCAGAATGTACACTTTGTAGCTGCATCCAGCTGAATTTCAATCCCAAGAACCATCACTCAGTAGCTATGACTGCCTCTCTCTTTTTTTAAGATTTCAGTTCTTATTGGAAAGGCAGATCTACAGAGAGAAGGAGAGAAAAGATCTCCCATCTGCGGTCTCACTTTCCCACTGCCATGACGCCTGGGAGCCTGGAACGCCAGTGCAGTCTCCCACACGGATGGCAGAAGCCCAAACCCTGCAGCGTGAGCGGGAAGCTGGAACAGAAGCGGAGATGTGGAAAGCCAAACGCCACTCTGATGAAGGCTGAGGCTTTACAAGGGAGTGCTTAACCGGATGCTCCCCTACTCCTGCTGCCCCCACCATACTTTCCTCTAACACACTGTACTTTTATGCTGTAAAACTAAATGAGGCAACAATATGTGTGCTTTGGGCCTGGCTCTGTAGCCTAGCAGCTAAAATCCTCACCTTGCGCATGCCTGGATCTAACATGGGCTCAGCTTCTAATCCTTGTGTTTCCACTTCCCATCCAGCTCCCAGCTTGTGGCCTGGGAGAGTAGTGGAGGACAGCGCAAAGCTTTGGGACCCTGCACCCGCGTGGGAGACCCGGAAGAGGTTCCTGGCTCCTGGCTTCGGATCAGCGCAGATCCGGCTGTGGCTTGCCACTTGGGGAGTGAATCATCGGATCAAAGATCTTCCTCTCTGTCTCTCCTCCTCTCTGTACATCTGCCTTTCCAATAAAAATTAGAAATAAATAAATAAAAATAAATCTAAAAAACAAAGAATATGTGTGCCTGGCTCACAGTAGGCATTCAACAAAATCTACCACCACCAAAGATGAGCCCTTATAATTATCTTCAAAACAGTGTCTACCTTGTATTTTTCTTTTTTAAAGTTTTAGTTAGGCAGAGTTACAGAGAGAGAGCAAGAGAGCTTTTATCTTCTGGCTCACCCCCCAGATAGGGGGCCAAAGCCAGAAGCCAGGAGGCTCAGGCAGGTGTGCCATGCAGATGCAAGGATGGATGGACTTGGACCATCTGTTGCTGCTTCCCCCAGCCCGTTTAGCAAGGAGCTGGATCAGCAGGAGAGCAGCTGGGACTTGAACCAACACCCATACGGGATGCTGACCTCACACGCATCACTTTACCTGCTAAACCACAACACTGTCCCTCTACTCTGTCATCCCAGTGACCAGTCCTTAACTGGATAAGGCTTATCACCCTGTTGAGACAGACCAAGGGGACGCATGCTTACAGTATCTTCCGCAGAAGGATACTTGTCCTGTCTTTTCTTTTTTTTTTTTAATTTAATTTAAATTTATTTATTTTAAAATATTTTTTAAAGCTTTATTTTTTATTTTTTATTGGAAAGTCAGATATATAGAGAGGAGGACAGACAGAGAGGAAGATCTTCTGTCTGATAATTCACTGCCCAAGTGACCACAATGACCGGTGCTGGGCTGATCCGAAGCCAGGAGCCAGAAACCTCTTCAAGGTCTCCCAGGCAGGTACAGGGTCCCAAGGCTTTTGGGCTACCTCCTGCTGCTTTCCCAGGCCACAAGTAGGGAACTGGGTGGGAATAGAACCAGAAGATCCCGGCACATGCAAGGCGAGGACTTTAGCTGCTAGGCTACCATGCCAGGTCCTAAAAGAGCTTCTCAACTCAAATAGAAACAAATATTAGGCTTCATTGTGCAAGCATTATTTTATAGTCACCAAACCCAACAAGTGCAGGTCACCATGCCCAGGGCAATTACAAACAGGAAGGAGTGGACAGCTAGTGAAGGGCACTTCCCCAAAGGCAGGTGTGAGGAGTCACAGGCCAGCCAGGACCCCCGCTGCAGCCACCCCACTGACCCCACGGCCAATGGGGCAGAACGGCGTTTCAGGCCGGAAGAGGTCCTGCCCTTCGCGGATTGTCATTCGATGGGTTTCTGTGAGTCACTGGGAAACTATGCAGCACTTATCCAATTTATCGAGGAGAATTAGAAATTGGATAAAGTGAATTACACATATGAACCGATACACATTTCTGAGGAAGAAGCCAGGCCTGGCCCCTCAAGTTCATGCGTGAGAATTCTTTGCTTTCTCTTCCTTTGCATAGGAATTCTACAGCTGGTGCTGGGGACAGGGAGTTGGTAGTGATAGCCGCTGAACTAAAGGATACTGGGGAGGTCAAAGCAGAAGGGATTCGTAAGAGCTTGAACATTTATGCTTCTGCTGGCTTCGACAAAGACCAGCTTTATCTGAGGAAGAAGGCCTCTAGGCTCACTCTGAGCTAAGGGAAGAAGGTTGCCACACGGGCACTAGCTTGACATCACGTACATCTATCTCCTTTACAGGCAAGCCAAGCGCACCCCTGGAACCAGTGGCTAGGAAGGCAGCCTCAAGGCCTTCCTGCCCTGCTGACAAGTCCGTGTCCCCAGCTTCCTGTCTTCAGCTGGCCACACTGTGCCTACTCGTGTCAATCTCCAAGGATGGCTGACTGCGAAGCTTATCTCCTCTCAATAACAAAAAAAAAAAAAAAACCAGAGGCATGGGGTGCTGGGAGTACAGTGACAAGAGGGTGGAGTGTGTTCATGAGGGGATCACATAGCTTTGTGTTGTAAAGTTGTTAGGGCACGTTTTCAACATATCTGCCTTTCACAGATCTTACTACTTGTCAATATTTTAAACTTCATTATCCAGATACAAAATTCTCCCTTTCTTCTTTACTTTAAAAAGAATTTGCACAGCACTCATGAATCCTATTTCTCCAGCTGCCTCTAGACCTCCTAGCCACTGATGTCAGAACTTTTTTGACAGCCATTCCCAAATCCTTATTTCCTTCTGAGTGCTGCCTTTGGATTTAAATTATGACGAGTTCCTATTGTGGATTCAGAGACTCTTTATGAATCTAAAATCCACAGCTCCCTGCTGTAGTCAAGCAGGCTAATTGGCCATTTCCAGGCCAGTAATTCACTCTCTATAATCTTTTAAAGCTCACTGACATATTAGAATCACTTCGGGGAACTTTCTAAAACAAAACATCAAGGGCCCATTACAGACCAACAAAACCATGCCAGAGTGGACTCTGGTTAATTTTTAAGATCTCTAAGTTTTTTGGGGTTTTTTTGGAGTTTTTTTAAAAGATTTTTTTATTTGTATCAGAAAGGCAGATTTACGGAGAGAAGGAGAGATAGATCATCCAACTGCTGGTTCACTCCTCAGGTGGTAGTCAGTAATGGCCAGAGCTGAGCCGATTCAAAAGCAGGAATCAGGAGAGTCTTCGGGGTCTCCCATGCAGATACAGGGTCCCAGGGACTTGGTCTGAGCAGGATGGGCAGCGGAGCAGAGAGGACATAGACCAGCACCCATAAGGACACTAGTACTTGGAAGAGGAGGATTAGCCAGTTGAGCTACCGCACCAACACCTCTCCAAGGTATTTTAATGCTCAGCTAACAAAGTCGTCAGTCTTCCTGCTATTCTTGTCTCAGCCTCACAAATCATCTGGGAATATAATAATCTTACATTATTAATTAACATTAAATGATTTGTTTGACTTTTGTTCTTTGTTTTTATCCTGCTAATGGCTCACTGAGATTCAGCTATAGATATTTTCTTTTTTAAAAAAAGATTTATTTTATTTTTATTGGAAAGGCAGATATACAGAGGAGGAGAGACAGAGAGGAAGATCTTCTGTCCGATGGTTCACTCTGCAACCAGTCGCAACTGCTGGAGCTGAGCCAATCCAAAGCCAGGAGCCAGAAGCTTCTTCCGGGACTCCCACGCGGGTGCAGGGTCCCAAGGCTTTGGGCCATCCTCGACTGCTTTCCCAGGCCACAAGCAGGGAGCTGGATGGGAAGTGGGACCACTGGGATTAGAAGCAGCCCCCATATGGGATCCTGGTGCGTTCAAGGCAAGGGCTTTAACCATTACCCTATCGCACCGGGCCATGTAGATATTTTCTTACACCAATTTTCAAAATTATAAACTTGAGGCCTAGAACTGACATGATATATGTAAGTTTATATACTTATACACGGTTTAATTTTGAATCAGGCATATTTAGCTCAGTCTCTCTGGTAACATGCCCACCACTTTCCTGATATTGTTAAGTCTTTATAGGCACAAATCTGGTTGTCTTACAGAAAATGCTGATAGGTCAATGTAACATTTTTGGTAGGGAATCAAGCTTTGTTTCCAGTGTCTTCCTTCACCCACTTGTGCTTCTCCCATTGCCCCAAATCCCAATGACAGGCTACTTTCCTCCCAAGATGAGTGGAAATAAAAACAACTCCTGTCCAGTCTCTGATGAAAAAGAGCATTAGAAGGAAACCAGCAGTTCCCCATTCTACTCTCCTGGATCTCAGCCCAAAGGCCAAGAA